CAAGTGTCCATGGTGTTTGTAAATTTTGCATTCATTATCATCCCTGTAAGACTTTGGAAAACCAAATATGATTCGAACTTAGGAGCAGTCTGGTACATCACACTAAACATTTTTTAAATTCTTGGGCAACATTGCTTCGTCTACATATCAATTAATTTTGTTTTATACTTCTATATGGATTCCTTACAGTGTTGTATGTTACTCAGGTGACCGTTAAGGCCCTTAGACTTCATGTTTCATCTGGCTTTGGAGAAAACTTTAACATTTACGAGGGGTTATCAAAAAGTTCGTGGACTGAGGCTATAAAATAAGTACTATGCAGTCTGTGCTTTCAAAATTTATATGGAACATAAAACAACAAAAAATAAAGAAATGTTGAAAATTTTAGCTTGATACGTTCATTATTTGCCAAATTATTCTTAAATAAAAACGACATAATATGATCAGCCGGCGCTGCCGTCGTTTATTTTCATGACGTCCGACAACGTCATTGTTTTTTCAAAGTCCTCTTCTTCTACCTCATGTACTTTTTTAGATGAGATTCCCTGGAGCTGAGTAAGGACTTAATCCCGCCTTGTTTATATGACTTTACAATGTCATGAACAGCGGCTTTCAATGAATATAATATTCCAAATAGATTTATACATTGGGAGACATCCTCGCTTGATTGTGCCAGTATACTTTGCTTATGAGTGTTCAATACCTACAACATATGATCAACGTCATTTTTTGACGCGATTGATTTTTCACACTTTGACTACAAATCGACATTAATTCTGTATCCCTTTTCTCTCTGAATCTATTTTGACATTAAAAGACAAGTATTCTGGATGCATATTATTTCTCTGTAGCCAGTTTAAACATTTCTTAGGTCTATATAAGTTTTTTCAGGGGCAAAACTTTATAGAATGTTGGAAAAAGAAACCCCTCCCCCCTTTTGACGTCATTTTCAAGGCCTCATTTAGTTGGACATTCCATGTAAAATTTGCGATAAAATTTCATAGAAATTCCAGAATGAAGTGAAAATTTCATATTTTATGGAACAATTGTGTACCGACACACACCTGAATTAATGGGATTTTTGGATGTCAAATGTTCATGTCAAAAGAGTTTTTTCTCAGACACACATAGGTCGCAAAAACGTCGTTTTCGAGGTTGCGCCGCCTGGACATACTAGTGCTTACAAAAACATTATTAATTTATTGAAAATTAAAATTTTTGATTCATGGTTTATTCTTTAGATAGAAAAGATGATGCTGAATATATATTTCAAACTTCACTGATGTAACTAAAGCGGTTTTAATTTTATGGCGCCAGTCCACGAACTTTTTGATAACCCCTCGTACATTAAGTTTATAGTACATGTGATAAGATCTGGTTATGATATCAGTATATATCTATGATAATGATAACTATGATAATACATGTACCTATAGCAATATTGTTTTACTGTGATAGCTAAGATGTACGAAACCACTGTAGCGATCGCAATTTGATTTTATTGATGTAATTTGTTTGATGATTTGTAATTGCAATTGATTATTTGCTCGAGTAAAAATAAAAATTATAACAACAATAATAATAATTATAGTAATAATTAATGTGGAAAGCAATTTGCATTCAGTTTCTTTCTCTTTATTAATAATTTCGAAAAAGTTGATGAAATTTAGAATTTCAGCAGTCTCGTTCAATGTCATAATTTAGTAACTTCTATGGTCGATACAATAACCTTGTCAGAAAATGCAATTAGAGTCAAATGCTGACTGATAATTTATACTTAATGTTAATCCATTATTTAAATACCGCATTAAAAATCGATTTTTCCGGTATTTCCCGATCGTGACAAGAACCACATGGCGGATGTGACCAGTCACAATTTGTCCGTTGTCTGACGCGTCGTTGTCTCCTCCATGGTCATCGTTGTCGGCGTTGTCGTGAACTTTTCCATTTTCATCTTCTAATGTGTTAGAAACTTCCGCGTTTGTTTTGCTCTAAATTGCATTTTGCATTCTCTTATGAACTTTTCAACTTGAATAATGTTCGTTATCACCAAATATTTCTTTGTACAAATTTAAGTATGGAAATTTATTTATTTATTTTAATCGCAAAAAACTGTGACCTCACCGATTAACGGACGGTTATAAGAAAACAAAATATTCTACCTATACTAAATAAGTGAAACATTATGACGTCATAGTAGGCGAGATGGCACCAATTTAAGAACACATGTTTTCGTAATATTGATATTTAGAAATAAAATCTAATTCCAGAAGTTGAATAGAAACGTGTAAACATTAACAAAAATAAAATGATTTTATTTTTATATACTGTTGAATCGCTCATCTTGATTAAAATCTACCACCGATGACGCCATATGTACATTAAATAACTTCGGAATCGATCATTTGGTTTTAAGAGAATCTGGTTAAGACGACATATATACAAAGAAACGTATAATTGTGTTTAAAAGCAAATATGATGATTATTATGTGAAATGCATGTGACGTTCAGTAATAAACAGCATGTTAATTTTTTTTTTTCATCGATTATATTCTCATTGGAAGACAGTTAGCTATCTACGTATTACGGTCGTCCTTTCCTCTGTCATTCATGACTAAAATAATGCAACAGAAAACGAAAAGCTGGATTTTTCACAATATATGATTTGTACAGATGGAAAGTTTGCCTTCTAAAATACTAGGAAATTGCTGCTAGAATCCTGAGTTCATCATGGATTTACGAAAAATCTCGGGTCATATATATAAAATTCAAAACATCGTTTAAGGTTTCGTGCAAATGTGGGAATGATTTTTTTTTTTATTGAAAGGACAGTGGGTTTATAGTAGCACATTTTAGGCAAAATAGATGTTTTTCGACTACATGTATATTATTGTTGTTCTATTAGTTTTTTTATTAAGGAACGTTTCGCTATTATTAGAAGTCACGTGATGTCTTGGTGTTGGTGCTTTGCTTTAGATACTCTTTCATCTTTGTGCAATTCTTAATAATACAGGGTGTTTCAACAAACTTGTCCCGACTTTGCCATTTCATAAAAAACAAATTATGCCGCATTCATGAAAGAAAAGTTTGCAGAAAAAAAGAACAATTTAATTATTACAAGAGTTTTTCAAAAGTTAGATCATTTATTTGTAAGACAGACATTTTAACAACATGGTCATTACAGATATACTTTGATTTGCCTTCATTTTTTATTGCAAACTAACAATGGTAATTTCCATTCCAACGTCGATACTATATATCCAGGAGAACTTGACATAAAAGATACCACAGAGTCTGACACATCTGTTTCATACTTGGATATTTTACTTTAAAAAGACTGTAATGGTAACCTTAAAACCAAGTTATATGATAAACGTGATGACTTTAACTTTTCTATCGTCAACTTTCCTTACTTGTGCAGCAATATACCTCCATCAACTGCATCCAGCGTGTATATATCTCAGTTGCATCGATACGCAAGAGCATGATCTACGCATGAAAAATTTCTAAAACGAGGTAGATTATTGACAAGCAAGTTGATGAAGCAAGAATATCAGCAGTCTCCTTTAAAGTCTTCATTTCGTAAGTTCTATGGTCGATACAATGACCTTGTAATCAAATACAATTTATCATAGAGTCAATTGCTGACTGATTTTTTTCAAACCAATTGTTAGTCCATTATTTATACACTGAATTGTCGACGGATTTTTCCTTGATTTCCTTGTCGTGGCAATGAGCACACGGCGGGTGTCACCGGTCAGCTGGGGATGCTCACTCCTCCATGGCACTGATCCCACCTTTGATGTTTCGGAGGTCTGTGATTGCTCTGTTCTTGTTTTGTATTGTTTTATGGACTTTGAGATTAAATACTGTTTGTTATTTTCATATACTTCTTTATAAATTTCCACCTTTTTCCGTCACCAGTTTCATTCTGTGTCTGAAGTTTCTGATTATATGTCTGCACAAGTGTCCAAAGAAATATGTCAAATTTCTCTTCTGATAGCCATTTTCAGAGCATTTTTTATCTTGTGGGGGTGGTGAATAAACACGATCCTTTAAATATCCCCATAAAAAGAAATATAAAATCTAAAGGGTTGAGATCGGGTGAATGTAGTGGCAACTCAATGTTTGATCGAAGAGATATAAAGTTTTCTCCAAACCTTTGAGACAGAAATTCCAGCAGAATCTTTGCGATGTGAGGAGTGGCACCAACCTGTTAAAACCAAACAGTGTTAATTTCTATTCCTCTTCTCAGATTAGTAAGGTATCGTGTAGATTTTACTGTTGTGGTTTTACCATCCTCTTCATAGAAAAAGGTCCTATGATACTGATACTGCTCATTGCCACTCAGACTGTTACATTCTGGCTATGTAATGATCTCTCTTCATAGAAGTCAGGCTTTGAAGTTCCCTCCAAAACGCATGTCTTGCTTGTTTACATGTCCATCAAATGTAAAATTGCTTCATCCGAGAACCATAGCATGTCGGTTAAAGAAATGTTTTTCAACATCCACTTAGCAAAACAAAGCCGGGAGGAAATATCGGTATTTTTCAGATGTTGCATTATCGAAATCTTATAAGGTGATAATTTTAAGTTCAAATTTCAATATTCTATAAACTGAAGAGAAACTAACGTTTGAATCAAGTTCTCTAAAGACTCTTCTCATTGATTTCTCTGTTGTTTCCTTGATGATTATCTTCACATTATCAATATTTTCATCTGACCGTCAAGTCCTTGGCCTTATATGCGTATCTTTTCTTCTGTCACCAATGGTCCTATACTGATCAAATTTTGACACAATCCAAAAAATCTGTTTTCCAGAGAGAAGATTTATATCTTGGTACTTCTTTTTAAAAATCTTCCAACCCATGCTTGCACTGCTCTTAAAACTAAGTATTTTATTCATCTCAATTTTAAAATAAATTTTGATAAAGATCAATATTCTTAATGGGTGTATGTTGTAAAAGGACTACACTTAATTTCATTTATTCTTTTCGTAGAGATCTTGAAAGAAACAAAATCACCACAATATATGACAGTGCCTTCGCCAGCTTACACAATTTAACTTACCTGTAAGTATGTCTAGTACTTATTGTAACAGAAAAAGTTATATATGTTAACTAAAAGTCTACCACAGTCTCAGTTGGTGAATCAATGCCTACTACTAGTAATTTTCTACTATTGCTTTCATACATTTTTTTGTTTGCAGTTTGGGTTTATTTCAATTTTAGTCAAGAAATCTTTTTAAATAGCAATGTTTTCAAATGACATTCACCAAACCAATATTTTATTCAACAACAAAAATATGCACTGGGTATAAACAAATACATTTGGTGCTTAATACTTGTTGATTTAATATAGCTAGATCTTTATGATGAACCCATTCAAGTCTAAATGAGCTTGTGTTTGTTGGATTCCTCTCTCTATATATACATGTATATATTACAATAATGTTTGAAACTAGCATGCTCTTTAAAAAAAAGGAAATATAATCTCTCCTGAAATTTGTAAGATAAGATGTAATACTTTATTTTTTTTTTGTTAAAGTCGTTTTTTTAATTTGTTTTTCTCGGTTTTCACGTTGACTTTTGTATAGCATTGTTTCTTTATAGATAATGCATGGAACTTTAATATGAAATATATGCATTGATATACAACCTGTGAAGTACTTATTGTACGGCAGCAATATATATCTACTTCACTTCAAATAAATAAACTGGAGGTATCTTTAAAATAATTGGTACATTTCATAAACACATAAATATATTTTTAAATGTACTTTTTAAAAAGTTTTAACTAATTTATGTTTTAGGTTTATTGGTGTTTTTTTATGTTGTAACTTCTGTAATATTTTTTAAAGTGTTAAATACCTTCAAAGGGAAAAAGTTGAAATTTGTTCCCATATCTTTTTATTATTTTATGTGTTATCCAATCAATTTCAATTTTCGCAGGCCTTTCCGACTAGCAAAAATTTCTGAACTCTCTGGAAAGCCCGCGAAGATGAAATTGATAACACAAAATGAATCACTTTTTTGATATATTCGAATTGTAATAAGCCTTCGTTGTATTTGAAAACTTTGTTTGTTCTAACAATTATATATTTCACTAAAATTCTACATGTAATTTCAACAAAAGATATTATATCTAGAAATGTTGGCAACTCATCACATCGTAAAAAATACTAAAATCTTTATTAATGTGATAAGTTGTCCCTAAATTAATATAACAATAACATACCCATTATATCAGGAATTGTGTCTAGATATGATGTAATACATTTTATTTTTGTGACGTCGTAATCAGATGAAAACAAGAAAATTGTACAAACAATAGATATTGTGTACTCGTTACCAGTTTTACCGACTAGAAGCAAAACCACGACCTAGCTTATAGGATTTTATTTTAATTTATGCAACCGAGTACGAAATCAAAGAAAATAATTAAGGAAACATTCATGAAAAAGGAATTTAATGTAAAGTATCAAACATAGATTAATGATAAAGGTGATGACTCTTACTTTTTAATCGTTGTTTTAAGAACTGTAAATTTTTCAGACAAATCTTTCGACTTTTTTTTGTCTTCAGTGAAAGCTTAAGATAAAGATCCCCTCAAAAAAAAATTCTTTGGAAAGTCTTTAGGGCATAATCAGCCGTTACTTGACGAAAGCCTTATTTATTTCGACAACTTTTCCACTAATAAAGTAAATCTCATAATATGGAAAGCCTTTCTGTAGCTTGTTCTTGTTGCTTAAAAAACTAGAGAAAACATGAGAATTTGAGTTGAGTGAAAATGTAATTTATTGACCAGATACTTGACGAAAGTGATCAAAAGCACATAAATATACACTATTACATACAATCATGTAAATTATAGCTAGGATAAGGTCAATTAATGAATAGTTTCAACTTATATATGATATATTGCGAGTTAGTGCTTATTCCAGCTCTTGTTATATAATGATTACCAAGTTTGTGTAACAAGAAGATTAGGTAAACAAAGAGACCACACGGCATGCTAAATACTTGATGTTATACAATGCGGTAAAATCTATACAACAAAAATTCAACAATTGAGATTTCCTTTTCAAATATTGGTATTAAATGGGGGGAGAATGGGAGTTGGCGGTAAATTGACTACAACGTCATGTTTCCGCAAAATTAAATTAATTGAGCACTCGATCCCGATCAAGCCGAATCCGATCCAAACAAGAGTTCGATTTCGATCCAGTCGACCCCGTTCCAAATACATTAAAAATCAATAACATCTGCAATTTTAATCAAACTATGTTATAAGCAATGTAAGAAAGATTGTAGGTATATAAAACATTTTATGAAACATAAAATCTTATAAAACTCTCATTAGTATTTTAAAAGCGATTTATTCTTAAAACATAACCACAACAACAAAATTGTACGTTTCATTGTACATTTTAAAGCAATATAATATTATTTTATATATTTATTTTACTATTCACATTTTATCTTCGAAAAACTAAATGACATACACTTTAGAAAATATTTACAATTTAAGTTTCAATACAGATTTTCCTATGACCAATTTTTTCTTCAGCTTTGTAATTGTTACATGTATGTCATATGTCAAACTTCCTTCACAATCTATAGCATTAGATATTTACTTAACATAACAGTATATGCAATCAAATTTGAATACACGAACATTACGGATTTATCGTCAATTAATAAAATATCTTTTTTGTAGGTACATTCATAACAATAACATAACCGTATTGGACAGAGATATTTTCCTGGGACTTTCAAAATTAGAAACTCTGTAAGGATGCTGGATATATAATTTTTCAATCATTCCAGTCTTAATAGCATCGTAAAGCGTAATTAACATGGTTTTAATATTTTCTGTTTCTACAAATTAATTCAGTTGCTTTATGTAGGTATCAGTTGATACGCTAATCAAATAATTGTGATATTATTTTAATTCCAAATTTAACATGTACATTAAAACTGTTTTATTTATTTTAGTACAGTAGAAAACAATCCTCTGCACTGTGGCTGCATCTCAGCCGAGTTTGTCAGATTTGCCAAATTAAGAAACTTGAAGTTACGATTATGGTCTGAACCGACATGTTCAACTCCCAGTAATCTGACTGGAGTATTATTGCGGGATCTGTCCTCAGAGGACATGGATTGTGACGTCACTACTGCAACAACGACAGGTACAGTTATCATTTTCTAACTTTAAAAACTCTCACTGATTTGTCTGTGTTTCCTCATAGACAACATATCCTATAATAGACACGTTTACAACACACTGTAAATTACATATTTTCGTGGGGTCAAATTTTCGTGGTTTGAGGAAAAAATGTCGGTTCGTGGGGCTTTGGTTTCGTGGATGAAGAACTTTTTATAAGTAGTGCATATGAAAATATACATTTCGTGGTGGACATAAATTCATTGGTCTCTTTATACCACGAAAACAACGAAAATTAAACCCCCACGAAAAATAGTGATTTCACAGAATCCTATAATAGAAAATAGACAACATATTCATAATAGAAACATAGACAAACATATCCTATAATTGATACATCGACAACATATTCTATAATTGACCCATAAACAATATATCCTATAATTGACACATGGACAACATATCCTATAAATGACACATAGACAACATTTTCTATAATAGACACCTCTTTTTGGACTCAACTGAAGTTGAAAGGTGAGGTAAAATTCAACATTGTAACATTGATGTTGAAAGGGGTGACAAAGCAAGTTAGAGTATATTAACCTACCTTACTTATGTGTACTTTACTTATGTTTACTTTACTTACGTATAGTTGTAAATATTCTTCTTTCATGTAAATTGGTTGAATCCGATTCGCCGAGAAACATTTCCTAAAAGATGACTATTTCCCGTTGAATAATGAAGCCTCGCCGTCCAGCGCAGCAAAAGGCAACATTGCATGACGAAAAGTGATTTACTACGAAATAAATGTTGACCTAACATAATTTATGCGCGCAAGGTTCTCGTAATATGTATTTGCACTGGCGGAAAACTTTTGCTCCCAAAAATACACTATATTTAATAAAAATGTTAATTGGGTGTGGCTGTGGGCCCCACCCTGACCTCAAACTCGGAAAATTTTTGCGCCTTGATTTGTATAACCTTTTTGTTTTGATAAAAAATTTTGTCACTCGAAAACCACCGTCAACCACTAAACTACATGCAATATTTATAAAATATCAGTTATCATCATTGTGTGAATACTTACCCATAAACTATAAGAGCTATCGATATCTTCATATTCGTCCTCCAAGGTAATCATACTGTTGCTGTTACCAAATTTGGTAATTAATGCAATTTTTTCATGAAAATCTTAAATGGGATCTTTTTTTATCATTTTTATCAAAATGATAATCTGCACGTCAGAATTGCTTCATAAAAATTTGGTTAACTTTGCACACTAGAAAGAGATTCTATAGCTTACAAGATAAAATGAACTTTGACTGAATTTAAGAAAGAAGGGAGTAAGCATTTGTTTTAGATGATTTGAGTGAAAAACTAATAAAAACTCTCCGAAGTATTAGATACTTACTTAAACGACTATCGTAGTGTGTTTTTATTAAATTTCTGAAAGATTAATGATACGTATGACTGAGAAAAATATTTAAATGAAGAGTTTATGTATGTCTGACTTTTATCATGTTTATGAACCTCATGTGCCGTATTCAAATGCACAAAATCTTCTAATATCTTAAAATAAAGATGGTAATCAGTAGATTCTGACCGATTAAAACAAAAAATTAATGGTTTTTGCATCATTGATCAATACTCCAGCCTGATTGGTGTAATACTGGAAAGGAAATAATGAAAATGTAATTCATATCCTCTGTATCAGGTAAAAAAAAATATTACAATGGAAATCAAGAAGCAATTCCATGATTAAAGAGAGAGAGAGAGAGAGAGAGAGAGAGAGAACATTTGAAAATTAATCAATCACATTAAAGGTTTATTGCAAACGGTTGGTTTCTTTTTCACAAAATCTTTTGGATCGAAAAAAAAGACCTTGAAAATTGGGAAAAAAAATCACTTCATATCTAAATCAATTTGTGTCTCATTAACCGTCTACAAAAGCGATACGCAACTACATTGTTTCGTTGTTTGCACGGAGAGAAAATGATTTGGTTACCTTTTAGGTAAGTTATTTATTTGTACAATACTCTATTTAAAAAAAATTCTTATAAAAATCATTTGATGAAACGATAGAGAAGAAAAACACCTTATATATAATTGTCAATTCGTTTTCAATACTAATGTACAGCATATTGTAACTAAAAAGATGTTATAAAAAAGGCACCTGAACAGGTAAGATTTTTTTATACATTCAATTACATTTACTCGCACATGTGTATTTCAAGACCCTGTTATTAATAGAAATTGAATTCAAAGTGTTCCTTAAAATTTCCTTATTTCCAAAAATACTTTTTACACCTATTCAAGGTAAGTAAATGCATGCCGGGTCTCAGTGGTAGATACGCTGAAAAATATTGCATCTTTAACTCATTTTCTTTGATCAGCATTCTGTTTTTCTCTCCCTTTTTTTTTGTTTGTTTTAAAGGCACTTTTCCATTAAAAAATGTTCGTATCAAATTTTTAATAAGTAATTTTTTATTTTCAATAAATTCTTTCATTTTCCAATCTTTTTTTTTCTTACAGAGTACAAAGAATACATATTTATTTTTTACTCTAATACGAAGTTTTAATAAATTCAAATATTTTGTTTTATATTAGAAATGTTATTTTGAACAATTTTGACTCATATTTTTAATTAAATTTCCCGGGTTTAATCCCACAGTGGGACTTGGAGACCGGTCCCTCGGATGAGACCGTATAAACCGAGGTCCCGTGTCGCTGTAGGTGCTGGCACGAAAAAGAACCCCACTGCTCAATGGCCCTAAGTGCTGAGTATAGGACAAAATTTGCAGCTCTCCACCGGCAAGTGGTGGCGTCTCCATGTGAGTGAAAAATTCTCGAAAGGGACGTTAAACAATATAAATCAATCAATCAATCTATTAGATATAAATGTTTATTTGACGAGGTTATAAAGAATTAATCTTTTCTTTTCTTTTTTGTTGTATCTAAAGCATGGAGGTAAACCAATTCTATATCAAAATTGAACATTTCTGGAAAAAAAATAAGCATCGACAAACACATTTATTTAAACTCAAACTGACACAAACAATAAGAAGACTGGGGTAGCGAAGTGGTTAACGTTCTCAATGTTTGGCATTGTTATACTCAGAGAAAAAATCGTCCCTTTATTCCGTTAATAGAGAAAAAATCAACACAATTTATCTAGATGCTGAAGGGTTTCTCCAAAAATAATCCAAAAATATACCATCACAATAGAAAAAAAAATTAATAAAATCATAGCAAAAAACCCTAGTGCTAGAAGTCTACACTCAGATAATTTATTTAAAACAAAAATAGAACAAGCTCTGGTGTTATACATGTACATACATTGTAAATTTATAAAGCATTCTCAATAAATCTGCAAGATATTATCGTTATTTTAGAGTCAAGAAAAATGCATAGCAATAAGAATAATACATAAAGAGCACAAATAATAAGGTTTAAGGCCTAGGATCTCACACAGGCCAGCTCCTCTGTATCCTCCATTGATTTAAGGAGGCAGCTCCCCATTTTTACACCCTCCAGCTCAAGAAACCAATTTATGAGCAATCAACTACCGTATCCCTTACGGACGACAACAAACCAAACAGGGTGCAAGTCTCCTCTCTAGTGAAATTATCACAATGGCCAATTAGTAAGTAATTTACCATAAGATAATGAATATACTGTAAATGTAATTTTTACACAGGATCATAATTTCATGGAATAACAATTTCTGTTCAATTTTTCGGGTAAAATTAATGAGTAATCCATATTCTAGATAAGTTTATGCCTACGATGTACTTGATCATAAAGTGCACAGGTTGTATTTTGTTGGGAAAATGATTCTTGTGTGCATGATGCAAAACAATACCTTACCGAGTACGTTTTTCAACTACATAATATATTTGAGAAATAATACGTATACCTTGTAGATCACCACAACTCCAACAATTCAAATGCTAAAGTTCAAAGAGAAAAACAAAACAAGATGTGTTTTTGAAACACTGATGCCCCTGTATCGCAGCTTATGGAGACGATCATGGTTTCTCAGATGCAAACAAAACTTCATGGTCAAGGCCTAAAGGTTAAAATTGCTGGTATCAATTCAATGGACTGTCTTCTTCTAAGAAATACACCTGTGAAATATAAAAAGCCTGGTACTTACCATTCAAATGTTAATGTCCAGGGTTAAATTTTTTTAATGGGTCAAACTATAAGGTCAAAATCAAATTTCTTTTTACCCAATGATAGGTCTTTTTACAATGGGTGCTGATGTGAAGCATGAAAGCCACAGCACCATCTGTTTAACTGTTTTTGCTTAAGTTGTGTTTATTTTTTGTAAAAGTGGGTCAAACTCAAAAATGTTGCGCACGGTGTTGGTACACATTGACGTTACGTCAAAATAACGTTAAAATGTCATACCGTTGTTATAACGTTTAGAACCTAATACATGCATATTTTATATCTTTAACTCTTTACAACTTACTGAACTGTTCACGTCATAGAAATAGAAATTTACCATTTCCCCGCAAGCACCATTTAGCGTGGTACACGTTTCTCTAAAGTTAAGCGTAAATAATACTATGACGCTATATTTTAATACAAAAAATTCTTTTCTTCTTTGATGAGATTTTTGCAAGTACAAAATAGAAGGAAATTGGCAATAATTCGATTTAATTGCTGAAAATTAAATCGCATTATTAGAGAGGCCCATATTCGGGGTTATCGGGTCATTAGTATTTCTCCGTTCTTTCAACTTTGGTATTTTAGTCGAATCCTTAGGACTTCCTTTTCCGTTAGAGAATGAAGGGGAGCAGACATATCCTGCATCTCAAGATAAAAATTTGTTTATTTATTTTTTAATGTGTTAAAAAATTCATGTTATGCATGAAATTTAAGAAGAATGTTTCTAGCAATCTTTATTTTCTTGTGTATTTGCATCATTACCTACATGACTTTTCGGATGTTTTTCGATTTTGAAAAACCACATGCGTAATATAAAACAAATGTCGTAACGCTTAGTCAATATTTGAGCAAAATATAATAATGATTTTATTTAAAAAAAATTGTCGAAGTCTTAACGCTGAGACAATATTAAAAATAATAATAATAACTTTATTTTAGGCCTATTTCTATATTGTTTTTCTTATTCCAAAGTCGGTAGTTTCAGAAAATGCCTAGAGTTAAACCCGCTGCCAAGCCGGCGAAGCGGAAATCAGCACCTACGAGCGGGCCTAAACCAAAAGTGGGATCAGTCGAATCTACAGAAGTTTCGTCTGAGGAAAGCATACCCTGTACAGACATTATTGTTACCATGGTTACGACAAGTGTCAGGAAGTGTGGTTACTTTTTTCACTAGTTCCAGCAATGAATCTGATTTCAATGTAGAGACAGCCAATCATGTTGATACAACAGGTAATGAGATCGATGGTATATGCGGTAGTTTGGGGGAAAATGCTACAGAATAAATCAAACATAAAATGTTGAGGGCTAATACATTGATTTAGGACAGCTTCTGTCCAATCCGGTCCTGATGGTTGATAAGCAAACACTAACAGTCTCTAATGGTCAAGTAGTAATTGAACTGAAAGGGTTACAGTTAAAATTACAAATGTACAGCAGTGGACTGATGCATTTTTAATTTTCTCTTCAGTATATGCCACAGTACACCCTACATAATTTCTTTGGCTTGTTTAATTAAACCCACACTGTTTGTGTAGGGGCTAGCAGATAGGCTAACAGATATAAGGTGGCAGTTTTATAATGGTCAATTTCAAATGAGAATTCCAAGAAATTCAAGTGTTTCATGAAAATTTGATCAGGAGCTTTAGCTTCTGTACATGGTACCATCGTTTATTGCCCGGTGCAAAACCTTCCGTTGGGGGGGGGGGGGGTAAATGCTATGACTATAACAATTATTGGGTTTGTGTGAAACAGCAGTGCCATTAATTACATAAATGTTTGAATTGTAGCGGGCCTCATCCATTTAAAAAGGCCCGTCTGCTAAATATCAAGATGCTTCTAGAGATTTTTCAGGTCAAAGGTACCCATTATAATACAGGAACCAGAGACTTTCAACAAGACCACTTCAGCCTTGAGCATGATTCCCCAGTGCAACACAATCTGCAGGACCTAGGTTATTCCCCAGTTAAAGTAGAAATTTATGCAGCTTATTTACAAAACTCTGATTATAATAGGAAGAGTAAAGAAATTTTGCCAAAGGGGTTTTATGAAGGTTTCTAAATTAATGGTCAAAAGGGTAGTTACTAATTGTTTTAATTTAAAGTCAGCTAGGGATAATGAGCTTGGAATTCTGAAAAAAGTTTAAAAAATTATGCTGGAAGAGTTACTGGCCCATTCCATTCAAGACCCTTTCCCAGTCTTAGGCTTAATTCAGCTGTAGGTTTAGTACCGAAAAAAGATGGATTATTTAAGTTGATTCATCATTTATCTTAACCAGAAAACTTGAGTGCTAATTCCTTTATTGATCCATCTTGCTCCTCAGTCAATTACTCCTCATTACATGATGCAGTTAGGTTACTAAGTTTGTTAGGTAAGGGGGCCTTGAATTGGGAAAAATGGACCTCAAGTCTGCATTTAGGTTGCTTCCTGTTCACCCAGCAGATCTTTAAGCTTTTAGGATTTAAATAAATATTTTGTGGTGTCTTGTAGTCTTTTTGAGGAATTTTCATCATATTTAGAATGGATATTGAAGCAACAGTCTGGTGAGAAATCTGTTGTGCATTACCAGTACTAGTACTTAGATGATGTTTGGTTTCCTGGTAGGGCAGGTAGGAATACACGTGATGAACTCATATCATTCTTTGTGGGGCTATGCGAGCAGTTAGGTGTCCCCTCAATAGCTGATGATAAAACAGTGTGGCCTTCCACTCCCCTGACCTTTTTGGGTTTTGAGTTAGATTTGTTTGAAATAATGTTAAGAATCCCAGTTGATAAGTAGAATAGTTTAAAGGATTTGAGCAACAGTTTTATGTCAAGAAAGAAGGCTACCCTAAAAGTATTTAAGGCTCTTGCAGGTTTGTTGAATTTTTGTTTGCGTGCCATTCTGTTAGGCCGGGCATTCACTAGGCATAATTCATGACATCATGCAAGGGGTCTGTAAACCACATCACTTTATCAGGGTTTCTGTGGTGATTAAGGAGGACTTGAAAGTGTGGCTTACTTTTTTAGATTTGTTCAATGGCTGCTGTTACTTTCCACAAATTGACTTTGTAAACAATGATCAACTCCAATTATTTACTGTTAGTTCATGGATTTCAGAATTATGTTGTGGCACTTTCTTCAAGAATCATTGGTTGTTTTTTAAGAGGCCAAGTGAATGGGTTGGTACTAAAGTAATCAGGGACATAACATTTTTTAGCTTGTTCCAGTTTAAACAATATACAGTTCTTTTTTTTATTTATACAAAATTTTATTCACATAAGTGAATGGGATTGGGCAGCAGGCAAAGCCTATTTTAGCCCTCTCCCTATACAGTTCAAGGCTTGTCTTATTATCTTGTGGGTCACATCCGATTTGGCATCCTGATGAAAAATAGATAATAGATAATCTGTCATATTCTAAGGTAAGAACATATCTGTCAGGTACAAGCTTTAAATGTCAACTTGATGGTACTTGAGACTTTGTTGTTATGAAAAAGATGGTGGTAGGCATGTCATGACTGCAAAGTTCTGTAGATGCTAGATTGCCAATTATATCAATATTATGGCATGATTTTGGGATTTCAACAAATGGTGATGCCATGATTACTAAGAATAGAAATTTCTGTGAAATTCTTTCAAAATGTTACTCCTCCTACAGTTTTGGTCTTATTTCAAGATAACTTGGCACACAGGTGGACTATGCTAGGATACATGATTCTGTGCATCGGTTTTTATATTGATGAGTGGCAAGGATCATTTTTCTATTTATTGCTGTTTTAAAGTTTCAGGTATCAACTGCTACTTTTCTCTTCCTTTGTTTTAAGTATAAACCAGTAGAGCTACAGTCTCGACAGAGACTTCTGGTTTTGGTTATGCTAGAAAAAATGGGGGGGGGGGGGGAGTTCCAATTTTGGGTTATCCAGATTGAAAGCTAATATATGGTGGCAGGGAAAAGGCGGCATGAAATGGTGACATCTCCTCCCAAAAATCAAATTTATGTTAAGGTATGAAATTATAATCTGGTTCTACATTGCAATGGCAAAGACATTGGTCAAATTCCATTATGTGTTTAGCATTATAGCATAAATAATTCTTTTGATTCAATTTAAGTTCTGTTATCAAACAACAATTATGGAAAATTATTTGATTTCAGATATTACCTAGATTGATTTGGCGTACTGCTAGGGACAACCTTGCTCTTTCTAAAGTTGGGTTTTGAGTTTATAGCTTTGTTGTTGGCCCATCAAGGGGGGTATATTTGTTGCCCAGAGTTCACTTTGGTTGATCATACTCTACTTTAAGAGGATGGGGTGCACTTGTCAGAGCAAGGCAATGAGATATTTTTTGAAACTTTGAGGAAAGCATTGAATAATTTTAAAATGTCAAGGGTGGGCTTTAATGGCCATGGCACTCTATTTCACTGACTAAATAATGTAAAGCACACTAAAATAGACACACAATAGATGTAGCTGATGTGATTGTTTTATACACATTTGTCTTAGTATGCAATGTTAATTTATTTGCTTTGCCATTCTTTGAAAAGGAGGGGGGGGGGTTATCATAAGCGTTCAGCTACCGCCATTGTGGCGGTGGACACATAGTGTCCATTGGCGCAATCTTTAGCTGAACTTAAATAGGGTTATATTTAGTGAGCATCTGTTCCCAGGGCTCGCTACAACTGTACATAATTATTTTCAATATGTGTGAAATTTCAATTTGCTTATTTGTGTCAGACTGGATGAAACATTTGCAATGTATTATTTGCCAGTAGGTTGCTTAACAGCTTCATTTGTATATTTGCTTATTTCATATTCATTTCTATATTTGCCTACTTCATGATGATTTTCATTTACATGTATTTGCCATTTGGGTTGTCAAAATCACCCAATGTATTTGCCCATTTCATGATGATTTTCATTTACATGTATTTGCCATTTGCCATTTGGGTTGCCAAAATCGCCCAATGTATTTGGGTCGGTAACCTTGGTTACGATTGTAACCAGTAACTAAATGTAATTTCCTGAAAATTGTAGTGCTGCCATGGCCATTATTCGCCATTAAACTTTTAGAAATTTATATATGTGTGGTTTTCTCTAATAATTCGATTTAATTGCTGAAAATTAAATCGCGTTATTAGAGAGGCCCATATTCGGGGTTATCGGGTCATTAGTATTTCTCCGTTCTTTCAACTTTGGTATTTTAGTCGAATCCTTAGGACTTCCTTTTCCGTTAGAGAATGAAGGGGAGCAGACATATCCTGCATCTCAAGATAAAAATTTGTTTATTTATTTTTTAATGTGTTAAAAAATTCCCACCCACCAACACCCTATATGTAATGTATGAATATATAAAATAAATTGTCTGTTTGGTGTCAATTTTCTGCTGCCTAAATTTTTCTATTTTCAGCCTTGTACATCTCGTAGTTCAACACCTTACTTCGTCATGGCGCACTGCATGGATGTAACCTCCGATGGCTGTTGATGTAACCAACTGTTACCGTACCCGCACCAATGAAGTTACAACTCTCTAGATGCGTTCCAAAATCTGTCGTTGGACTTGAATAGTGATTTATATGTGAACCTTGTACATCTCGTAGTTCAACACCTTACTTCGTCATGGCGCACTGCATGGATGTAACCTCCGATGGCTGTTGATATAACCAACTGTTACCGTACCCGCACCAATGAAGTTACAACTCTCTAGATGCGTTCCAAAATCTGTCGTTGGACTTGAATAGTGATTTATATGTGAACCTTGTACATCTCGTAGTTCAACACCTTACTTCGTCATGGCGCACTGCATGGATGTAACCTCCGATGGCTGTTGATGTAACCAACTGTTACCGTACCCGCACCAATGAAGTTATAACTCTCTAGATGCCTTCCAAAATCTGTTGTTGGACTTGAATAGTGATTTATATGTGAACCTTGTACATCTCGTAGTTCAACACCTAACTTCGTTATGGCGCACTGCATGGCTGTAACCTCCGGTGGCTGTTGATGTAACAACTATTACCGTACCTGCACCAATGAAGTTACAATTCTCTAGATGCCTTCCACAATCTGTCGGTGGACTTGAATAGTGATTTATATGTGTGTGAGTATCTTGCCCCAGAACTCACTGGTGTCTTACATGTGACTGATTTTTGTACGATTCCCGATTTGTATGTATAATGGATGGAATAAGACTATGCAATCTTTAGCTGAACTTAAATAGGGTTATATTTAGTGAGCATCTGTTCCCAGGGCTCGCTACAACTGTACATAATTATTTTCAATATGTGTGAAATTTCAATTTGCTTATTTGTGTCAGACTGGATGAAACATTTGCAATGTATTATTTGCCAGTAGGTTGCTTAACAGCTTCATTTGTATATTTGCTTATTTCATATTCATTTCTATATTTGCCTACTTCATGATGATTTTCATTTACATGTATTTGCCATTTGGGTTGTCAAAATCACCCAATGTATTTGCCCATTTCATGATGATTTTCATTTACATGTATTTGCCATTTGCCATTTGGGTTGCCAAAATCGCCCAATGTATTTGGGTCGGTAACCTTGGTTACGATTGTAACCAGTAACTAAATGTAATTTCCTGAAAATTGTAGTGCTGCCATGGCCATTATTCGCCATTAAACTTTTAGAAATTTATATATGTGTGGTTTTCTCTAATAAATTAACAATTAAATGAATTTTTCAAAGTGCGTGAAAATGCGTGATTGCGGGGAAACGGTATATGCATGATTTTGCGTTAGAAATAGGAAATGGTATATGCGTTAAAATGCGTGACTGCGGGGAAGGGGGTTAAATGAATTTTATTTTACAAAAGTATATATAAAAAAAAATAAAAGGGCACATAATGTTTAATGTTAGAACTTCTTTTTTGAAATATTTAGATGTTTATTAATATATCTTAATAATAAAATTTTTATTACTGAAATGCCAAAGGCACTCAGTGAATATTCCTCTTTCTATTTATTTTTTTCACTTGTCTGTCTTATAAGGAGAAAATTTAATATATAAGTAGTATTCCCTTTCAACCTCCTTCAATATTTTTTTTTCAGTTATGTCATTAAAACAGGCGCGTAGCATTGTTTTTGAAAGTGGGGGGGCCAACCTGAGCAAAAATTTTTTTACTTACCTGAAAAACTTGACGAGCAAAAAAAAAAAAACAAAAAAAAAACAAAAAACAAAAACAAAAAAAAAACAAAAATTAAAAGTTGCCCGAAGTCGAAAATCCTATTTCGTGTGTGTGTGTGTGTGTGTGGGGGGGGGGGGGTAGTGGCTAACTTTTTTCAAGACCAACTATCTTTCAATTGAAACTTTTGGGGTAAATTTTCTTTATAACACTACCCTTTGCTGAAATGTGGGGGGGGGGGGGGCAACCTTCCCTTCAGTAAACATTTTCTATAGTAAAGGTTATGTCGGGAAAAAAGTGGGGGGGGGGCTGGCCCCCTGGCCCCCCTGATACTACGCCCCTGTAAAAGTCTTTTATTTCTATAAAGCGTCCGCATGCGCTTTGGGTGTATAGATAAAAAAAATGAGAGTTAAAATTTTTATACTTCCTACGTTTCAATGGAACTGGTGTCATTTTAAATTTAAAAAAAAAATAAGTATCAATTTAGTATATTGAGGGGATGAAAAAAAAGGAGGGATGGAGACGTTCCACCATAATTGAAAATCTGGTTTATCACGAAAACTCTAAAATCATTTTACTATTTTTTGGTGAAAGAAGGGGAGGCGGGGGGGGGGGCTGTTTTAATGCATACTTCGTTTAGTAGGGTATTTTTTGTGGAACGATATCATTTTGGGGTTTTCATATTTTTTTTTCCTTTGGTATACATGTACACATGATGATTAAGTGTAACAAATATTAATTAGTGAAAGAATCTCCAACAAGCTCCGGGGTTGAATATCGAGGACGGGTTGGGATGGTTTCTGCATGTCCACAAGTACTTGTAAGCTGGTACTATGGACCTGATTTGGAAAAGCCACGGCGATAATAATTTGACGCTCGCGACGTCATGTGTACGCATTGAGTAAAATGACGTTTTTTGTACCTGTGACAAAATGGCTACACTTTTACTGATGCTTTCATTTATTTCATGTAGACCATTACTGTAAAGATTGTGTAATTACTAATTGCAGCATTAAATGTTCTTTCAAGCTACATACATGATTGCTTTATATCTTACATCAATTTGTATATTTTTGATATGTTATTGAGACATATTTAGTAACAATACACTGACTCGTGCGTGCATAACAAAATGGCTACAGTTAAGAAAGCCTTCCTAATATTTACGTTGGAAAAGTAATATAAAATATGTAATCCAATTAATCTAAGAAATATATGTACTAAAAGATTATTCACCAAAATTAATATTTGTCTGGGATTTATGTCTGGTACACGTCTCCATTTCGGCTAATGTCAGTGTAAGGAAACGATTTTGTACTGTTAGACATTTTACTTACGCACTGTAGATCCAGTCTAAATTCATGAATCTGATATAATGATGTTAAAAACTCAACAATATCTTAAAGAATGCATATATTCTATTGTATCCCCTAAATTTCATTTAATTCAGAGAGTTGTAAGTGCATTTTTTCATACCATTTAGTTGCGCTACCAATAATTGATGTAACGTCGGACACGGCAATTTCGCCGTAAATGACCAATACTAAGTAACGCCTCGTCATAGTTAAAATAATTTTAAATTATTTAAAAGAAAATTTTAAGAATTATTCATTACTTGAGATAACATAATTAATTTTATTTTTAATTTAAAGTAAATATGACATCGCGAAACCGCCAATTTTTTTTCGACATAAAGAGTTAGATATGGTGGTACCAACACCGTGCGCAACGTCAAAGGTAAATGTCAAATGGTCAAATTTAGAGGTGCCCAAAAGAAAGTTCTTGTCTCAAAGAGAAAAACTGTGAAATAGGAAAAGCATAGTCCCACCCAAGCTTTGGTGGGAAAGCTTGATAGGCAGACAGAGAAAAAAAAACAGAGACGGATGGACATGACAAAAACCATATTCCCCTGAATTTTTTATAAGGGGTACATAAACATGCTGTAGTGGTAATTAAGAAATTAAGAACCACAATGCAAGAAAAAAAAACCATTCTCTTTCTTTATTTTATATGAATCTGTAATAAATTTTAAATAATGTAAAAATTAAACAATTGATTTCGAGATTATTTGTTGTGTACACTGTAAAGAAGTCATTTCTAATCAACCATCTTAATGTTTGAAAAGATCAATTCAGTTCTAAGGAATTGATTCCTCACATCAGTCTATTTTAATTTTTACAGTATATTTTGAACTTAAAAATACTAATGTTCTTGGGAATCTATAAAATCCACCAAAGAACTACCAAAAGATATCCAACAACGAGTATGTAGTTTTATTTTCTTCAAATAATGCACAGTGGATGACAAATTATTTTTGTTGACTTATCAAGAATTTAGACCTCCTATTTCTTACATGAAGATGACCAATAAGAAAACTTAGTATCCAGAGAAATGAATGATTTACAAAGCAGCTGAAGTTTCAGCAAATACATAAAAGTAAGCTGTCATGATGTAGCATTCTTCGACCTTTTCTATATTTTCGTAAAAATGCAGATAGAGAGTTACCGGTATTTCAGAATGAATTGTATAAAGTAGCATTTAATGTGTATTCTTCACTGTTTCTATTTCTTTATATGATAGACCAATTCAAGCTATGCTGTTATGAATGGGACACCAATGGAATTAGATGTGTGCAAAATGCCAGAGAGCATGGTTCGGAATTTAACACACATGCCAGCTCTTCATCCAACCATGATTATGGTAGATTTAACAAGTACGAAACCCCCCTCCCCCACCCCCGAAAAAAAAGTATGCCTATGATCGTTTATCTGTATTGTTGCTGATCATAAAATTTATAAACTAAAGGAATGATATTTATTTAAAAAAATCACTGCCTAATACATTGTACCAGGGCACCAACGATAGTTAAAAACGTGGGATAAATCGCCTTATGGGCAAAGCCCATTAGGCGTAAATTATCACATTGTTTCCAACTATTTGATATCCCTGGCTAAGTGTACCAACTAGACAGTGATTCTTTATACATATATTTCCATTGAAATAAGATTGAAAGTTTTATCTTCATTAGCTCCTGACCTATTTCTTGCCTAAATATAAATACCGGTAGAATGATCAAAGTATCAAGTCTACGAACTTTCAAAGATTTATCACAGAGAAAAGAGATATAAATATAAAATTATTGATTTGTATCTATGTTTTGAAAGTACACGTATATAGAGCTAATTAATTAATTAAATTGTTTTCTGAATTTCATATATTTAAAAAATGTACCCTCTTGAAAGGCAATTCATTTGATTTTTAATATTATTATTATCAATTATTATAAGAAATATAAACGTTATTGAAAATAATAAAGTCTAGAATTATCCAACTAGCTTTCAATTTGATTAGACAACAAGAGACCTGTTCTTACTGTGAAATTGATTCACTTATTTATCTGATTTTTAAACTTTCAAGCAAAACATCCACATGCAGGAACGTCAAGGATATCAAAAATGAAAACAGCTGGTATGTAATGCAAATATCCTTTGAATTTATTGTAAATTAATTATTTAAAACATGCTTTGAATCTCCTAAAGATTGTCAAAGCTGGATGCATATGCGTTTTTTGAAAACATTAGGAATATAAAATTGTTTTTCTAATCTGGGGGATTACCTGAATAGAAAATTAGATAAAAAAAATTATGTTTAAATTGAATTAAGTACGATCTTACCAGTGTTACATATTTTCAATATCTGATTTTGAGACTGCGCCGGGTTCTCCTACCATTGACACATTAATGTACCACTGTAAAAAAGAAATAGATTTTTTTATATATTTTTTTGCTATTAATATTTCTTACTATTTGTCAAACGTATATACAAATATTCACTGCAATATGTTAATTAAGAGAAGGGGTATAAACTCAATAGTTTCCTAACAGCCCTCGTGCAAATTAAGAGCTATTCAACTTTTATTTACTTTGACTTTCTTTCGATCTTTACCTCTTTTATCTTAAATAAGTGTCAAACTCCATACGCTGATGCATTATATTCATCTGAATCATCATTTTATGACCTTGACCTTTCTTTCCTTGAGTTGACCTCACTTTTCTTTTGCCAAACCTCATATACTGATACGTACATACAGAACTGTTAAGCTTACCTGAGCTGAAAGCTTAAGTGAGTTTTTCTTGATCACATGTCTGGCATCCGTCTGTCTCGGGATATATATGGATATAACGAATTACAAAAGTATTTTCATAGGATCCAGCAACTTCCAATAACTGAGTTTTTATGTAATTTTCCATATTTATTTAACACTTATTCTGTGGATAAGAAATTAGAGTTTAATATCTTAAAATGAATTTTAATACATTCAATACCTTTGTCGAGGTACAGGCTGTCCCAAAGTTGGAAACCAGAAGTTCCTGTCAAAGATGCATTTGTCTCATGGGAGACTGAAAGTGAGAAGGATTGATTGGAAGAAACTGACTTTTCCTTCAAGTCGACCGAGTCTGATGAAACTGTGGAGAGTGACCTTTGGTAATCCTTAATTTTTTGTTGGTCTCTTTTAATTTGAATGTAACAAAAATGGGAAATCACAACTCTTTGCAAGTTTGATTACTGTTTAAATTTTTGCTTAAAAAAGTAAATAATATATCTGTTAAATTTAATCATTTTGTCAGTTAATAATGTGTAACAGTATAAAGGTTTTAAGCACAAATGTCATATATATTTTTTAGGGCAGATCCTGAAAAGAAATTCCTTGTTTATGTGTGTCAGCTTATGTAACTCTTTTGTAATTCAAAAATGACAACGATTTGTTTAGTGTATGCCCTTGCGACAGAAAGTTTGGATGAGGCATCACCATGTACAAAATACTTAACCTAAACATAAAAACACGACAAAAATCATCAAATACATTCTCTCGATAGTTAATGAATAAGTGTACTACACAAAGGATATACATCGGTATTTATACCCTATTAAAAACCTGTAAATCATATACTGTTTTATAATAAAACACATTTTTCATTGTTAAAAAATCTTCAATCTGCCTCTCAAAGCACAAGAAATACCACATTTTTACTAAAATGATGTGATGTTGACAAGTGATTTGTTTATAACCAACTGTATATGGATTTAACTACTTACTTATATGGGATTTAACTATTTATCTCTTTTTATTGCATGATAAGTTTTATTGTCGATTATTATGCTAATTCAGTTTGAAGTTGCAAATTATACTTTTCTAAAAAAGAAACGCAAAGTAGAATTCTAGTGACACATTGAACATAAAGATTATTTAATAAAATGGTGCATTGATAAAACAGAAATGTGGTAAGCAACAGTAATTCTGTCTAAATGTCATGATTACTAAACAATTTTAAAATTATAGTCAGTTTAAGACCATTAAAGATCAAAATCTGGTATGCCCCCCGCAGACACAAACGGCATCTAATGGAAGCTAATGCGTGTAATAAAAGGTGTATAGGAATACTCTCCCACTCCAAATGTAGAACTTGAGTCAGCTGCTGGAGTGTCTGGGGATGCGATTGTCTATGGCAAATCATATTAATCCATTTTGTCCAATGCTGCTTAACCTGCATTAAATCTAGCGATTTAGATGAATGTGACTGAAACAGGTTGTTGTTTCTTTGCAAGAATAGGTGTGTCAAACGAACCATATGTGGCTGTGTATTGTGAGATTGCAAAAGGCTCTAGGATGCTGCAAAATTGAATGGGTATGTGTAGGTAGAACATGGTTAGAGTACCTTTTACCGTCAAAGTCCATTGAATTCGAACCAAATCAATCTTACTTTCTTATAATACCGTTTTCCATATCATTACACAACCAACACCAACATTTTTAACGTCCTGAAGGTAGTTATCTGTCTAACATTCATTACAAAGCATAAGCACTCTTAAACTTATCTGAGGCTTTCAGATAAACATTCTGGACTAGTATGTTAACCAAAATGTTCAGCAGTGATGCTGTGGTTATACTCTATTGATCTGAGATCTTTGAAGTCGATATTTGGGGTGTTGTGGGGTCGGAACAATGGCATGTATAAACCTCTTGCAATAATTCGTAGTCAACTGAAAACGGTCTTGTTAGATGGTCTGTGTAGTTCAGGAATAGCTTATGCTTTAGATGACGTCCTTGCATTACATTCATACAATTTACGTTATCCTCGGAAGTGATTGGACTGTGTGTAACATTAAAACCTCTTGCAATTGTAGATTGTGGTACCCCTGCTTCCAGTCGCCCATTTTCCTTTTTGTGCTATGCAACATTCAGATGCAGCATTTTTAGAAAGCGCCATTTTTCAGATAAAACCAGATTCAAAATATCGAGAACCCCCAGTTTTGATAGCTCCTTTGTATCTGAAGGAATTGCATAGGAATTCAACAAATGAAAATTGAAATCAAAATTTTTGGGGAAATTTTGCGAAATCAGGTCTTTTTGTCTCTGAGACTTGTAGAATAGCTGTAAAGTTAACAAATGCATTAAAAAATCATGCATTTAACTCGAGTACATCGTATCCATACAAAAATTAAAGGTACATGTATGACGAAACTATCATGCTTTTTTCAGGGCATTGTTCCTACCATGCGTCTCTTTTTTTGAAGAGTATATTTCATTTTCTGGTTTTATGAGGGATACGTGAAAGTTATATTTTTGTGTGTCGTTACAGTAAACTTTTCCCGTATAAATTAGGACCGCCCCCTTTTCTCAGCCTTAACAATGCTACTTAGTCACCCCCTAATTGGAAGCATTCATGTAGGTAATTTCGAAATATCCTGTGCTTTGCTGTTTTCAGGCTCTTGTCAATGCAAAGCATATAAAATGTTAGAATGTTCAAGTTCTTGAACATGGCTTCCATCTCTTACAGGACCTTTATGTATTACCAACAGTTCTACCTCCACCCAGCAGTGATAGAAGTGTGGAGAGACCAGCAAGCCTCTGATGTACAAGAAGCACGGGCGTCGAGCCGGCAATTACATTGCAATGGAGATGTATAGGTGATAAAATGTTATGTTTTTTGTTTAATGATTATGTTAGAATTTGTTTTTTTTTTCTGTGTTGTAATTTAAAGTGATATTTAAAATGCAATTTATTTATTAATCCATTTCAGAGTACTGTAACGAAGTAGGTGGAAGTTGCTATACATGTATGGAAAAAGAGGGTTTGATCTGAGATGTTCGTTTTTTTTTTTTTAGCAGAATAGGTTACCAATAAACCAGATAGTGACTGACAGACATCTTCAGGTTGCGTAGTTGATGCGTAAGAACATACCAGATACGACACATAGCATCGATGTGTGGCATGCAGCAAATATAATAGAAATAAGCATTACTCTTTTAATAGGTGGGAGAAAGTAGTGCACATAAATCATGATAAATTTAGAGCCATTACATAAGTATTACTTACTGGTAACTGAATTAGTCAAGATGAACATATAAGTTATGTTTTTAAGTTTAGGATTTACTAAGTAGTTGTTGGCAGGGGATAAAACGTCTGGCAAACCATTTGTATTGGGTATCCTTAGCACCTAATGACGAAGGCAATGAGCTTAGATGGGAAAAGTGGACCAGTATTACCTACCATGTACAGAACATTCACGAAGGTCATGGACAACTTTTTTAACGGTGTGAACACTTTACCCAACACTAGACGGGAGAGGTGGTTGAGACCAGGTAAGATACTTTTACAATGGCAGAAGTTCTAGTTATAAAGTACTTAAATTAAAAGATATATATTACGCATCATATGGCTATCATTTTCTGTAATGGAACAAAAACAAAAGAACTTTATTCGGTAATAACCAATATTTGCCCCCCCAAATCAAACTTTGATGGAGATATATTCAATTAAGTTCTTAAACAGGAAAGTATATGCTGACTTCAAAGCACTGAATACTTTCATAAGTAATGACGCCATATGTACGTAATGAAGTCACCAACATGACGTAAATTTCAGTATTTTATGAAATTTATAGAAAAATGTACATATTTCGTCGATATTTTGAGTAAAAGTCACCGAGCGCATGTGTGTCCAGGATCAATATTTTGATATAATGTGTAGAATGATAATATCAATGACATATGTCAATATTGTTCCTGAACAATCTTGCACTCCATAGATTTTAAAGCTAAAATTGTTGAAATTTTGTCCATTTTTTTCCTTTTTCTGAAAAAGGATATAAAATCAGACTAGTTTGTGACGTCATAAAAACAAAAATTGTGAATCCACTGTTTTGACACTATACTATTTTCTGTTAATTTATATTTCTTATTACAATTTATTGAATTCAGCACATTTCAGGAAGTTTTCAAAATTTGACTTTTGATGGGACAAGTATATGCAATATACCGCATATAGTTCTTTAGGATCGGGGATGACTTAGTGCAAGATGTTTGGTATTAAAAAAATACCACCGATTTTTGTTTTATTTTTAAATTTCAACTTTTTAAAATTAATTTTTTTTTGTAACTTTCAAGATTTAAAGTGATGGAGAAAAAAGAAACTATTGTTACAGTAAATAGCGGGCAGATGAAGATGGACATCCCCATGCTCTCTCCATTATTTCAAACTTCAAGTGTAGATGCATTCCATTAAGTCATAAACTAGTTTGCACCGAGGATGTATAAATTCTCCTACTTTGGATTGCGAAGTCGGTATGTTGTCTTGCTTATTGAACAATACTTTTACCATTGATATTTCCAATGGTACCCAGTCATTATAAAAAGACAGTGACATACAGGAAATAATATTATCTACAAATTAAATATAAGACACATTGTTTCCAATTATAGCTTGGCCTCAGCAGCACTTCACTAGAACGAGAATTCCAACAAGGATCAAACAAGAGGGGGGGGATCTTCAATCTAACATTGTATTTCCAAAGCACATGAAGTGGAATACGCTGTGAAGAGAGTCAAGACGCAAAGTATTTATGGTAAATTTATTTGACATCTTCATTGTATTATTATCACAGATAAATATATACATACATATAAAAAGAAACATGAACAGGTATAACATTTGCTCATTTAGATTTGATGGACATAATTCATTTTCAGAGTATGTTGATGTTCTTACAAATGCTGCTACGACAAGGGCCATCAACATGAAGATGCCACAGTGTGGTTGAGACACTGGAGTTGCGCCACCGCGCGAAGGATCAGTATGTGCATCCCCAGAAATACGATGCAATGGGTTAGCTGCTGACAAGGTTCCGGAGGAATTGGGCCATGCTGAATCCTTGGATATGTGTCCCGGATTTTCTGGACTGCACAAGCAGTAAATGGTACACGCACTTGTCTCCCCAACCATCCCCAGCACCATCTAGCCAGTTGACTGTATCCTATGTAGCGTATACGCCTGTTATATATTACAAGATTAAAACGTTTTTTGATGAATAAATTCGCTATTCCTTTCATTATATTTTTGTAATAATATCTAAGTATGTGAGGGTACATTGTATATGTACATTGAAGATACCGTTATTGATTTATACTGTTGTTGTTTACGTATTTTAAGTTACTTATTTTTAAAATTTCCTGTTTTGATTATTTTTATACACGTTAAACTATTGTTGTCTTGTCAGTTTTATTTATGATTTTGCAGTAATTTCATATTGGTGGTGATGTCTGTTGTTTTGATTTTTTAACTATAATTTTTATCAAAGATAGATTATTCTTGCATTGCTGTTGACGTTTTACTTATGTTCAGTCTATTTTACAGGTTTTTTTTTTATTTTCTTTGTTACTGTTTTGTTCATGTATTACTATCTAGCTGTGATTTTTTTCCCTTTTATTTGACATTTAATATCACTTGTTTGAAATGCAAAACCGTTTTTCATCCATGGAATCTTAAATTTATGCAGGCATGATATACATTTGTATATAATGTTTTCATTATTGATCTCATGGAATACTGTTTACACATATATTTAAATGCCGTTCCCTTCTTTAAGATTCTTTAAATCATGAAACTTAGCCAGTTTTTTGTCTTCACTTTAAAATTCTTTATATTTTTGTACTGACCAATATTCATATTTTAATTTGCATTTCAAATTACAATGATACACTGTACTAACCTATTATTTTTGGGGAGTTCTTCATACTGTTGTCGACACACATATTATATATGCATCACATAGAATATCTGCATAGCTGTTGTGTTATTGTTGTATATATATTTTTCTTTGACCATAACGCTACAGATCCCACAATGCAAAATAAGTGCAATTTACGGCGCAATATTTTTTGCGAACTTTTGGGGATAATTTGTTCTTTCCTCCATTGGTCAATTACATATAACTAACTTTTACTCCCTTATTCTAGACACATTATTAAACTAATCTGTATATTTTATCCATCTCCCAACCCTTTATAGTCGTTTCTACAAGTGATAAAGTCGTTTGATTAAAATTATTTGTTAGATTGCTGAAAATTCACTTCAAGCGATTTTATTGTCTGTAGAGACATATACGAGGGCTGTCCCAAAATTTCGTAGACTGAGCTCATATCTTTTAAAGAAATTAATGTATTTTTATAAAATTTTCATGATGGATAAAGTGTGTTCTTGGTTCCTGTACAGGTATGAAATAATAATAATTTGAAAACATTATATTTCTACGGTTTTTTTGTCTGTTTTTCTCTAATGGAGTTGCACAATGGAACTCTTGCCAATTTCTTAGCTTGTCTTTTATTTTAGTTACTGTTATTCTCATATACACAGAAAAACCGTTTTAGCCATTTTAAATACTAAGGATGAGAAGAAGTTTCATAATCTACCAAACATTTATGACAGGTAAATTTCTGTAAGAGTGAATTCAGGATCAAAATACTTGATCATAGTCCAGTGCGCCGCTTGGGCCAACACAGCCGCCATTTTTTACAAATTCGGATTTCAACCCCATGTATATAAAACGTTATAAAATTCATATTTATCAAAGCATAAACACCAAAATTTGAGGAAACATAGTTAATTACCCAAGAATTTTTATATCCATGAACAATATACGGGGTATTTATTACTTCTCCGTAGGATTTTAAATATAATATACCAAATTTTAACTGCAACTTTTGGGTATTGCGCCGCCTTCCTACACCAGACAGTGAAATGTGTCTTTTAAATTGGAATAATATGTGGAGTTACTCCATATTTGTCCATAAAATTGTTAGATAGTGTTGGTTTAATCTATGTACGAAGTTTCATTAATGTATGACATAGGGTTCCTACAAAACAACGCTTGTCTACAGAATTTTGGGACAACCCTCGTATAAATGTTTGGGAGGTAGCTAAAACATACTTATTGGCTAGAGAATGTGCCTAGAATTAGGTAGTGAAAGATAGTTGTTTGACCAATGATAGAAAATGGAGATATTATCCCAAAAGTGTGCAAAGATATTGCGTCGTAAATTGCATTACTTAGTACGTTATATGTAGCGTTATGGTCAAAGAGAAATATATGTATAACAACAACGCTACAGATCTGCAGCTACACATAAAACTGATGGAAGGAGACAGACTTGTTGTAAACCACTATGTTCTGTGATGCACGGCTTCCTAGGATTCTCAAGAACGGTCATTATATGTGGAATTTCCTGGTAGCACATAGACCCTGCAATAGTAGTCATTGTTGGGCAGCGACCACAGTTGCAACTAAAAGTATTTCAGTCTTTGTGTAATTCTAAAAGGTGAGTATAAATGTTGCAAACTTGATATATTAAATTACTTGCGGTCTGAATATGTTAATCAAATTTAATTCAGTCCTGAGCTTTGATGGGGGGCGGGATCTATATTTGTAACAACTGACAAGTTCTCAAAAGAACTTGCTAACAAAAACTTAACCAGAATTTGTGATTGCTGATGCAATAAATTATTCATTTCAAATTCCATAAATCATTTTTTTTAAATACTGAAAGGCTCTGCATCGCAAAATTCAAATTGAGTTTATGAAAGTTATTCTTATTTTAGTTTTTGTAAAACAGAGATATGGTCCGGTAATAAGTGTACACTTGGCATTTGTGAATCTTAGAAGGAGTTGTGGAAAACTTTTTTTCAGATAGCTAAGAAGACAAAATATGCCAGTCTGAAGTGATTCTTTGCCGGTCCAAAATAGTCAGATGGTACATGTATATTGCAAAAATAAAAAAAAAAGCATAACATTTATTTTCTTAATTAAACTTTACTTACAATAACATTCAGTTTTCAATTTCAAATCCGCGATCTTTCGTTTTCTTTTTTGTTGTTTGCATATATAAAAATACTTGATTACATCGCTCTTGGGTACGTGGAATTCTATGAAGTAAACGTGATTGTTTTAAACATTAATACATTTGGAAATTATAATTTACCTCGAAAATGAGTTTTTTTGCCGGGATGACCGGCAGAATTCAACAGCTCTTATCGAAGTAAAACAGGAAGAGTATAATCATAATTGATCACGAACATATAGCTTTACTTCAATGTAATAAATAATTATATAAAAGCCAATTAGGACAAAATATAGGAGAAATAACTGTCAGTCATTGTTCCCAAGTCGATCTTGTTTGTGGCTTCCGGGGGACATACAGCCGTAGATTCATTGTCTGAACTCGATTCAGGCTTGAAAAGATACTGTTGTGTGACCAAATTGGTCATCTCATTGATCTGTTCCTCAAATCTTGATGAACCTACCTACCCATCGCTGTTTTTGTCACTATCACCACTATAACTGTTGTCTGAATTCGAACCATCGTCCTCGTTCTGACGTCACACCAGCAGAACCTCGTTTCGAGTGTTTCTAATTTCTTTTGATTAGATTTCCGGTGAAGGAAAAATTAGACATTCTACAAGCGGAATAACTCTTTTAATACTTCGCGGATTTAGATGAGGTTTTCTGCTTTGGTCATTTTGTGGCGATACATGTAAGAAACAGAAGAACTGCGAATGATATAATTATTCTTCCGCCGACTTCCAAGTAAGTTTTTAAAAGTCAACATATTCAATGATTAAAAAAAAGATAATACTAGATTTTCATAAATCATTACTTCTTTTTGAAAATCAAGAGAGATAACTCCAAAAGTTTGGTAATATTTGTGTTTTTCACTACAGAAATCAATGGAAAATGTAAAATATTTTTAAAATAACTTTCACCTAATTCACCCCTCCAGTGACACAAAAAGTTCTTTTTATAGGTAATATGGACTGTTATTTCACAAATTAATACCAAAGTTTTTTTGTATGTCACGGGGGGACATACAGTACCCGCATCGTTATTCTTTACAATTCCATATGTATGAAAAATATCGTCTACTCCCTTTTTTCAAGAGCTGGAGTTATGGATTATTTACTATATAGCGCTGGTATCAAGACAATTCATTAATTTCTATTAAACTGTTCTTTTTATTAAACAAAGAATTTATGGCAAAATTGTCATTTATATTGAATTAGATGGTTGCAAAATGTAGGAATGAATCAAAAGTTAGAGTGCCTTTGTCTTATTACTGTAGGTATTGCATATTAAAATCATGAACGGAAGGAGGACTAGGGCATGGTAACAAAAGGGAATTCTATTTTAACAGAAATATGTAGTGATAATCTTAAGCAATTCTTTCAACAACAACCAATGGACCATAAAAGCTGAAACTTTTGCGGAATCATTCTTGAGTAGTGTAGATTGTAAACTGTTCAAATCATGACCCTCGGGGATAGGATGGGACCACAGAATGGAATCCTAGTTTTACATTGAAATATATAGGAAAAAATCTTGAAAATTCTTCTTAATAAAGAAGTCATAAAACCTCAAACGTTTGTGGAAGCATCCTGGGGTAGTGTAGATGTTAAATTGTAAAAAATCATTATTCCCGGGGGTAGGTCACGGCCACATTAGGGAATCCAAATTTTATATATAGGAAATACTTAGGAAAAAATCTTCAGAATTGTTTTTTTTTTCAAAACCACTGGTCAATAAATGTTCAAATCATGAATCCGGGGGGTAGGACGGGGCCACAATAGGGAATCTAAGTTTTGCAAAGAAATAAATAGGGAAAGTATTTAGAAATCCTCTCAAGAAACAAAGGTCCAGAAAAGCTTAACATTTTGTGGAAGCATTCTTAGGTAGTTTAGATTCTTAATTGTTCCCATCATAACCCCGGGGTAGGGCGACCGAGACCACATTAGGGAATCCAAGTTTTACATTAAATATCTGAAAAAATCTTCGAAAATCTTCTTAAGAAAAAAATGGTTTTTAAAAGCTGAAACGTGTGTGGTAGCATTCTGGGTTATTGTGCATTCTTAATTGTCAAAATCATGACCATTTGGCAGGATCACTATAAAGTTTTACGAGGACATACATAAGAAAAAATCTTAAGAAATCTTCTTCACAAGAATCACTGTGTCATAAAAGTTGAAACTGATATGAAAGCACTCTAGTGTGGTGTAGATTCTTAATTGTTCAAAATATTTGACCCGGGGAAGGGCGGCACACAATAGGAAATCCAATTTTATTTGTAGAAATATAGAGGAAAACTCTTTAGAAATCTTCTTATCAAGAACCAATGGACCATAAAAGCTGAAGCTTATGTGAAAGCATTCTGGGGTATTGTAGCCTCTAAATTATAAAATAATGACCAGATGGGATGAATGTAGAGCTGGGCCAAAAAGGTATTATACAAAGGGAAATCTGGTAAACTACAGCATAACAAACGATACTTGGGTACAGGATGAAGCCTAAGGGCTTCTTGTTTGATTCGTGAAAAAAAAACATATTCAAAAGATGATATTTATTATGTTTGTACATGGAAAAGTATAATAATAATAATAATGATAATAATAATAACGATAGTATATATTCAGATTTGTAGTAACCACTTGAGATATCACTGTGAAATCACTATTTTTTATGCAGGGTTAATTTTTTTTTCAAACAAGATGTCTCTGTCGAGACTGAAGCTCTACTGGTTTGTACTTATAACAAAAAAAGAGAAAAGTAGTTTGGGGCTTGAAAATTATACAGCAGCAATAAATAGAAAAATGATCTTTGATTAAGTTTCTCCTTGTGGTAAGATAATGCAATAAGACTACAACTGTAGGAGTAGCTTTTGATAAAATTTTACATATTTTCAATTTAAGTTACCATGGTAACGCCATTCATCAAAATAAAAAAAGTAAAATAAAACCATAATTTTTAAATTTAGTAACCATGGTACCACCGTTCATCGAAATCAAAAACCGATAACCAGAATTATGTATCTAAGTATAGTCTTCTTGTGTGCCAAGTTATATTGAAATCCGATTTAAACTTTAAGAGGAATACATGTAGCATATTGAACAAAAGGCCCGTGGGCCTTATAGGTCACCTGAGTATCATGCGACAACTTTCCAACAATTGAATTTGATTCATGTTTTAAATTAGAGGCCATGGAATTAACAATTTTGAAAGAGGCACCATTGCTTATCATAATTATACACTCAGCATGCTTATTTTGGTTACCTAAAACCCAGAGGTAGATCATAGTAACAAAGAGAAAATGCATTTCCACTTTAGAAAATTTCAGAGCCCCTGGGTCAGGGCTTCTTCTGTTAGGGCAGGTCAACAGTTGAGCTCCCCATCCCACAGGAACCACTAACCCTGGGGCCACATCTTTGAAAATTTTGGAAATTTAAAAAAAAAAAAAATTTAATGCTGTTGACTTATACCAATTGAAAGTACTCAGCTATGTTAAGGAAGGTCAGAGTTCACATTCCTTGTACATCGTATTGGATGTTCAATTGTGACGTCATTGAAATTTAACAAGCCACACAAATTAATTAACGACATGACCATGCGTAAATAATAACTTGAATTTATTTATTTGATCGATTATTTATAAAATCTTGTAAAATTGCAATACTTGATTGCAATACAGTCGAGTAATAGAAAAAAGCCTTTCCTCAAATATGACGTCATCAGCCTAGATATGACGCAGCACAGGTGATCCAGAGGACTAGATTCACTGGTTTAATAATTATAAGATTGCTTAAATAAGTATGATATTATTGCTAATTTTAAAACCTAATCATAAAAACTAAAAGAAAATAATTTATTTAATACAATGTGTATAGAATATGAATTTATCTAGTAGCATTGAAGCTGTACAGGGGTAGGGAATGTAAAGAATATCTCTAAAACGATGAGCGTATTCAGTATTTACATCAAAAGTGCAAGGGCATAGACTATATTTTCTTTGATCTGAAATTTGGAATATTTATCGCTTATATAGTGTATATTTTGAAAACTTCTGGGAGCTGATCCTGGTCTGCATAAGATTATTTTTATTCATAAGAGAATTAAAGCGGAGTGGAAATTATCAGCAATTATAAGCATTTTCGGCAAAATTTGAAGTATTTCGCAAACAGCACTGACTAGCTCCCAGCACTTTTTGGGTAAAGGAAATAAACTTCTTTTGGTGTGTATCAATTTTTTTTCTTGAAAACAAGCGTATGCCCTTGCACTTTCCATTTTATAGATTCAGCATAACAATTCTATTTTTATACAAGTCACGTGACCAACAGCTGATACGTGAGATAGTACTGGTAATAACTACGACCCAGTCATATCCCTTATTGATAGCTATATTACATTTTCTAGATCTATTCAGTTGCTTTGTTACAATATTTTATAAGAAGTAATACATATTAAAATCGTGCAAAGGTCACATTTTCCATATCGTGCCTTAACATAGCTGAGTACAGACTTCAAAGCATAAAATTATTTCAGACTATGTTAACCCCCCCCCCCCCAAGTACCTCTGTCCCAGGGGACAGGAAATTAACAATTTTTTGAAGAACCCGTTTTTTTGTCATAAATATATACTAAGATCATTGGCATTATACCCAATAACAAAGGAAAAGATTTTCAAAGAATTCAAGCGTTTTCACTATATAAACATTAGAGCCCCCCTCCCCTCCCTACCCCCAACCCCAGACACAAGAATCTCTAATCCAGGGACCCTGAAATTCAAAAATCTCAAAGAAGCATCCTTCTTCCTCATAACTATGTACATAGTTCATTGGTTAAATACTCAGGTGCAGAAAAGGAGAGTTTTAAAGAATTCATGCATTTCACTATATATTCAATAAAGCCTCGCCCTAATACCAGAACCCCAACCAAGTGGCCATGAAATTCACAATTTTGGAAGAGGTAGCCTTATTCAACATAACTTTGTACTTGGTTGGTTTATTTAATACCCAGGAGCAAAGAAGAAGATCTTCAAAGTATTTTTGCATTTTCACTATATAATCTATATAGTCCCACCCTACCACTAGAACCCCTGACCCTGGGGCATTACATTCACAATTTGAGAAGAGGCAGTCTTATTTAGCATAACTATGCACTTTGTTAGTTTATTTGAAATGTCCACAAACAGAAAAGAAGAATTTAAAAGAAATAATGCATTTTCACTATATAGCCTGTTCAGCCCCGCCCTAGCACTGGAACCCCTGACCCTGGGGCCATGAATTTCACAATTTTGTATAGATCTCAATGCTGGTTACAATCATACCAACAGTTTAACTGCTTGATGTCCATGAGTAAAGAAGAAGATTTTTAAAGATTGCACTAATTTTAGTGGTTTTTCCCCACCCCCTGGCTCCAGGGGGGGGGGGAGGCAGGGACCATGAAATTCACAATTTTGTTTCCCTTCACCCATAGATGTTATATACCAAATTTGGTTGAAATTGATTCAGTGGTTTCAGAGAAGAAGCTAAAAATGTTGAAATGTTAACGTACGACGCACGACGAACCACGCACGACGAAGGACGAAAACAGATAGCAATAGGTCACCTGAGTTTACTCTGATCAGTAATGCTAAAAATGAAAAGACCTAGAAAACAATGTCCCCCATGCAATGTAAATGAAATATTTTACGACTGAACAATTCTTTAAGCATGAAATCAAATGCCCATGAACCTATGTTATTCTCCTCAAACCATAACAAATTGACCCATAAAAAATATGTGATTTTACAATAAACAATTTTACAAAACATTTTGAGTAAATGTATTTGGATAACAAAAATGTCATTAGTTATACAATATATAAAGAATACAATGTTCTATATTATGCTGAAAAGATAAGTACACAGCGGATGTATAGGTTATTTTCTAAGCCGCATGTTCTGGGAAAAAGACATTGATGAAAGTGATATTGAAAAGAGATTGAAAAGACATCAGTATTCGACGTTGGATCCTGATATATTAAGTCTTAAACTTTTTTTGCAAAGTATATCTTTACTTCCTATATACATACTAGTAGCTAAAATAGAATTCAAATAAAAAATGGGGGTCATTATGCTTCTTTTTGTGATACAGAACATTTATTTTGACCTTTTTGCACTGAAAATTGTGTTAATTAAATATTGCATCTTCGATGTTTTTCCTCCAATATTATGATTCAATTAAAACATGAAACAACATGAAATTTAAGTGTATTAAAAAAATACATTTTAAAATTGTGAATAAGAAAAGGTTTTTAAATTGGATCGAAAATCATTTTGAACTTTCTGCACCAATAAAATGTGATTTTTCTGGCATTGAAAATTTAATGATCAAGAAAATTATTTTAAAGTCTTTACGTTTTTTTCGGAATGTAAGGAAATAGGTCAAAGTTATCTTGACAATCTAAAAAAGAACATCTAAAGTGGGGGTAAATGATGTAAATTTTTAGAAAAGAGTATATATGATAAGAGCTAATTTTGGCCCCCTAAAAATCAACATTTTAGAATGACATTCAAATATGTTTAATTGATATTTATTTTGTAGAAGAGATTATATTAGAAATATTTCCAATATATTTTTCACATCTATATGCACTCACTACCTGTAAATGACATGAGAAATAATGTTATTTTTGCTATCTAACAAAAAAGGCAAAAATATGTTCTATCCTTGATGTTTTTTTCTTCTGGGATACATAGGGCGCAGTGTAGAACATACGTATTTTTTCTGTCACTAGTTAGTATTGGAAAGATACATCTTTGGTAAAAATATAAATCTTTTTCTAGGCTGCGCTCTATATTTTCTGGAAAAAAAACTGCTTGAAAATAAGCAGTTTTATACAAAATATGCTAAAATGGCGGGAAAACGTTATTTTTATGATGTCATATTTCTAAAATAACGGCATTTTGATCAAAATGAAAATGACCAATAAAGGTCACATAATATATAGCTGTACAAATTAAAGCTATGTATAAAGTACAATTAAGATATTCGTTTTAAGGGGCCAATTGAGACATTTACCATATATCGCTCTTTCTTAATTTATTTCAAAATTGGCTCAATTTTTTTTTCTGGATTGTCGGAAAATATTTACTATTATATTTGTCACACTGTTTTGAAAGAATTCACAATAAATAGTTTGTAAAATAACTCCCGCCACAAAATATATTCCTAGTTTAATTCTACATTGTACTTGAATAGACTTTAATCGCAGTTTTTCATTGAATATAGTTTAATTTGCATTGCAGAATCAAGATTTAAGGTAGGATTCTTCTCGTATTTCTAATATTTAAAAATTAATGAAATTTTCACGGAATCAAGAAGACAATACCAGTAAATGATAGTATCAGTGAAATTAAATTTGACCGTTTTATATTAGAGGCAAGGTCAGGTCAAGGTCATTATTTTTTTCCTTGACATGAAGAATAAAAAGTAACTGTTGCCAATCATTTGATACCTACTTCTATATCAAAAGTTTAATGATTGTTCTTTTTGCTTAAAAACATATAACTATATCGGGTCTATAGCATGATAATACCAAATTTACATAAATAATTTAGCTTAACTGGATATTAGCTAATCCGAATTTTTCTCTGTTTTTCTTAATTTTTTAGGATAAATTAGTCATTTTCATATGCTTCCTATATTTAACTTTTTCTTATTTTTACATATAATAAAGTAGTCTTATAAATGTACAAAATGATACAAAAACAAAAAGTTTTAATCGTTTACTAATAGAGAAAGAATACTTTTTATGAATTTTTGGCTCAAATCTGCACTTTGATAGGAAGCGTTTAAAAGCTAATAAAGTTCTAGTTTGTTTGCAAAATCACATTTATTTGATATATTTTCAAAGTTTAGTCCCTCATTATTAATCTAGCTTACATTTGAAAATTTCTCCAAGACTTCGATTGTGTAAAACTTATAACTAAATTCATTGTTCTATTATAATTTTGAGAGGCAGAAAAGAAGATATTTTCATACGCCACCATTCCGCCAAAAATATAGTCCCTGCTAGTTTTCAAACGCAGTTTATCATTTCTATTTAAAGTTGTTCAATTGTGATGAAGAAAGAAAGATATGGTCTTTTAAATTCCCTACACCTCAATATATAAGACATATAAGCAAATATACTTTTAATGTTTCATCTAGTCAGTAACCAGAGAAGAATCCTACCTTAATATTCAAACATGATACAGCGTGTTATGAATAAAGGACAGGACCAAATCTGCTCAAAAGCTCAGGAGGATCGAACGTCCTTAAAAGGTGTATGTACAGGGAAACCAAATAATAATAAAATTGGTACAAATATTAAAGAATCTTATCTCGAAAGATAAAACCAAGAATGAATGAACTTATCACTCTATATGAATTGAAGAACGTCCAAACCTAAGAAAAAATGAATTGATATACTTTCACTTAACTTATCCAAGAGTCGACTGGAGATATCCTTATTTCTTTTACTAACGCACAGATCGCGAGTTATTTCTCAAACATTAAGCAATGAAAGGCAACAATCAGTTTAAAAAAAAACAAGCATGTTTAGGATAGCGCTATTACACAAGAATTAAATAACACCTTCTTCATTCATCTTCAAAGCTGAAACATCAGATTCCATGTAGCATTCCTTGCCATCCTCCTTTCTATTGGTGTCACATATAAAACCTTCGCTGGAAAACAAAAGTTATTAATGCAATATATTTGCCTTATCAAGCCCCCTTTGAAGAAGGGAGGGCATATTGCTTTGTTGCTGTCTGTCTGTCGGTCGGTCGGTATGTCGGTATGTCGGTCTGTCGGTCCATTTAGTTTCCGTTCATTTTGTTCACAACTGTTGCACATACTGAAATAAAATTTGGTATACAGGTATATCAGATAAATATCTAGGTCAAGTTCTGTTTTGGGTATAATCGCACCATTTTTGACGGAGTTATGCCCATTGAACTTACAAAAATTCCAATTATTTGCAGTTTGAGTTCATTTTCTTTGGAGAGGTTCACATATTGAAATGGAATTTAGTATACAGATTTGTCAAATAAATATCTAGGTCAAGTTCTGTTTTGGGTATGAGTGTACCATTTTTGACAGAGTTATGCCCCTTGGACTTTCAAAAATTCCAATTTGTGGGGGAGGGGGTCATAAGTGTTTTACAAACATCTCTTGTTTTATTTTAGTTTCTGATATGGTAAAATACAGTTGTTGGACTTTTTTGTATTTTATTCATGATTAATAGGGAATCTAATATCATCATATATTTCTAATAAATGAAAAAAAAGGTTCAGATCAAGAATAAAGAACATTGTAAGACTATCTGCCTACAAGAGCAATTTACCGAAAGGGGTGATTACTGTAAACCAACTTTTATTCTCGTGTGAGAAATTTTCGCGAAGTTCGCGAGGGCCTTGTTATCGCGAATATTTCTCGCCGTGAACCAGTCCATGATGTCTATATGAACAGATCAAAAAAGGTTTGATCGCGAAAATTAATCGACGCGAACTAGTATAATCCCGGTAAATCGCGAAATAAAGTCGTCGCGAATAAAAGTTGGTTTACAGTATTTAAAAGAAATAAGACTTAAAAGAAATAGCCTAAGCGGATTGAGTAGAAAGACTAAACTCTGTAAGCGGTATATCAATTAATTTTTATGCAGAACAAGTTTTAAAAGAAGTTTTAAATTTTAATATTAAATCTTAACACACAGAAATATTGAGCTAGGAATCTAGCTTCAGCAGATTATACGTGTACCTTTTATTGGAATTTAACCCCCTACTTTAAATTATAAATCGTATAATAAATCAATATTTTTTTTACACTATCTAGATTTCGTTCAAAGAGTAGACATAATTTGCTGTTTTGCTGTTGCTAGATGGTTCTTACAAAGCGAGTTACATTTTCAATGCTCAGTATATTTCTCACCTCATATGTAATTTGCCCCTTGGAAATGTTTTGTTCAGAATCTCTTTCAGTTTCATAAGAATTGTTGTTAAAAACTGCAGTCTTTGAGCATTGCCTAATTTGAAGGATAGATGAAAGTTTTATATCTGTAATTTTAGATATATTTAAAATATGTTTTAAATGAATGCTTGTTAAAACTCAAAAGCAAACTGAAATGTTTCATACTTTTTTCAGCATTAGGTTTACCATTTCGTATATATTTGTAGACGATTTGTACAAGAACTGTGAGAACAACGCCTAAGATGAGACCGCCAATGAAAGATCCAACTGTCACACCGGCTCTGTTATCCTCTGCAAGAATATGTCAGAAACATAGTTTTTAACAAAAACGTCATTACTTCTTTAGAAGCATTTCGAATGTTAAACAGCTTTAATAATTTATCAACAGAAATAAAATTAGATAATCTTATATTGGGTTCGCGTACTTATTATTCCATATACATAGATTGTATTTGCTTGATTTTTAGAGAAAAAAAAACCCATCGTCGCAAGTTGCACACAATTATAAATTTCGATGGAGACATGCTCTTATGACTTGTTTGCTGACTAACCTGGGATTAAATTTTGTTGTTGCAACTGCTGCTGTGCCAGAATTTGTTTTGCTAGTTCTGTATAATTAATCATCACTGGATTTGACGCAATATGGGGCCGACGTTCATAAGACACAGGTTTTCTTCTTGATATTTGATCTTGAGTTACACCAACTGGTTCTTCTGTGCTAAGGTGCTGAGGCCTTATCCATGGTTTATACTCCATTGTAGTTTTGTCTTTTGGCCAATGTTCATAAGACACATGTTTCCTTCTTGCTTTAAGATCATGGGTTACACTAACTGGTTCTTCTGTACTAAAGTGCTGAGGCCTCATCCATGGTTTATACTCCATTGTAGGTTTGTCTGTTGGCCGACGTTCATAAGACACAGGTTTCCTTCTTGCTGTAAGATCTTGGGTTATTTCAACTGGTTCTTCTGTGCTAAGGTGCTGAGGCCTTATCCATGGTTTATACTCCATTTTATCTTGTTCTATTTCTTTTGGAGGCATTAAAAAAACACATACACATAAACCGTGTGATATATAAATCTATGTAAACATGTACCTGGCAATCTGTAGTCTAATCGGGTAAATAGCAGTTTATACCAAACTACAGACACATTAACTAAATATGAATATTTTCATACTTTATAATGTGCAATTTATTTTCAGGAAAATCAACTACATTTATCTCACAAAATTTACCATTATTATTATTAAAGCAAACAAGGCAACAAAAAATAAATTTTACACATCATCTATTTACGAGGTTCTTCCAAAAAGTTCGTGGACAATGGCGTTTTTGTGAAAACAAATGGTTCTGTATAGATCTGTTGAATATCAAAATAAAGCAAGTCTGAATGATTTAATTTATATTGATGGAACGTAATATTTTTGTAAAAATCGGGGTCCTTAAAGATCACAGATTGCGCGCACGGACCAAGGTTAAAAAAAGATAAACTCTGATAAAAAAAAATGTTCGGATTAAAATGACTTTTTTCTGTATAAAACAAGTCAAAAATTAATAAAAATTGTATATTTATGTAGAACCATTTATTTTCACAAAAACGTCATTGTCCATGAACTTTTTGGACATTGTAAAAATAATTTATGCACTATATAGATAAACCAGTATGTGTTAATCAACTAAGTACCATGATATCAAGAAAAAAATTATGTGATTGTGACCAAATAAGCCAAACTCTTTGATTGATAAGGGAAATAAATACATTTATTTCCTATGTAGCTTGTAATACCAGCTTTAATTGTTTTACAGAGTCTGGTGTAAATTTCTACGCACTCGGCTTGAGCAGGGGGAAAATAAAACCTGACGTCACTATGCATACTTTCTCTATGATTAAAACCAAATAATATGACCTCATAATGAATTGAATACGTAGTTATTTTATCAATATAATGAAACACAATTGATTCGACTCTGATGTATAAGCCTTTAAAGAATTTTAATTGGTACTTAGAAAATAAATTCGTTATTCAAGTTATAATGATGCATGTGCAGTTTCTCTCGGGTTGTATTCCATATATGAAATGTATGGAATAAAAAAAAAACCCAGGTAAATCCCTGTACACCTTTGACTGAACCTGGATAACAAATATTTTAACGAAACTATAAAATAAGACGGATAAATGATAGGAGAAGTGATTCAAAAATATTGTTTGATCCTAAATACCCGGAATAATTAAGACTTAAACCAATCTCCTGCTATTCAATTTGTTTTTAAACACGTTAAGTGAAAATTCCTTCAATTATTGAAATTAAATTGTCTGTAAGAATCCATATATTCAGAACAATAACTGTATATTTGTTAACTGTATATTTAATTAGATACATTGCCCAATGTACCCCGAACTTTAACAGATATTAAGAATCTCAAAAGCAACCTGCTGTGAAATATAGTACACCAACTTAAATGATCTTTCATGGTTTTAATTAAATAGTCATTTGATTGACTTTTAGAGAAATTCTACATGATCTGATCGTGCATAGGTGTACATGCACAAATGTAATCAATCCTGACCCAAGTAACTTTAAGTCTGCCAAAGTCTTGTCCAGACAAAGATTCAGTCATTTTTTTCTTTGCATTTCTGTTCTTTTGTGTTCCTCTCGTGAACAAAAGGTAGCCCTAATTTAAGCTTAACGAGGCCTAGTCGAGTGCCCATGACTTTGTGCAGCTTTTTAATTTCATGTAGTCGTTTGTGAGACAGTACAGTTTTGCCAAATATTTTGGTTTTAGTACAAAATTAACATTAGCTGTAACTTCTACTGGTCTGGAAATCTGATTTTACGACAAAAATTAGTGGAAAACGCTGAAATTGCTCTAACGACGTCACCATTTACAGATTTTGTAAGCAATGTATGACGCTGAGGAATGACATATGACTCGGTGGTATATTTAAGACGCCCATGGAAATCATACTAAAAACTGATGACAGAACACCAAAAAAGACATTATTCTAGAAATCTAAACATTGCTATGCTTTACCGAATAAATCATAAGCCCCGATAATTCATCTGCACTGACATTTATATATTTGGTAACATAACAATTTTATAGGTATTGGGTTTTGAAAAAAAATAAATTAGGTAATTAATTCCTAGACCGAACGAGATGATGAACATTTTTTTCAGAATTTGACAAATTGGTGGCTTTTTAAAACAACCCTCAATGACTTGAAAGAAGAAGAAATCCTTGGGGCAAAAATAAAAAAAAAATGTGATAATATGGGTTTTCCCCCGCAAATTTCCATAGGGTCCAATACACAGCAATGTTAAGGCTTGAATAAGGGGGCGGGGCCTTATTTATACGGCAAAAGTTTACTGTGACGTCACACAAAAATATTACTTTTATGTATTTCTCATTTTACATGAAAATGAAATAGTTTGCAACTTTTAGCTGTATAAGCATAATAAAAAAACAATAAAACTTGTCAATGCATTTTAAAAACTTGCTAGTTAAATCCCATGTGGCTGGTTATAGACAACGCATTGATCGCGATGAACTTGTAAACATTACGTCATTTTGGGAAAAATGACGTATTTCATGTACTGTGAGAGGCAGATTGAGCTATTTTTTAATAATGAAAGATGCGTTTTAATATTAAACGGAATATTATTTAACAGGTTTTAAATAGTCGATTAATACCAAAGCATATCTTTTGTTCAGTGCTATTATTAATTAACTATCAAGAGAATGTATTTTATTAATTATGCCGTGTTTTTATCAACAAATTACGTACATTTTACATCGAGATGCCTCATAAAATCGCACTTTCGCTAGGGCATACATTTAAGAGATCTTAACCATTTTTTGATTATAGATAAAAGATATTTTTCTTAACTTGAAACCGTTCACGGAAGCCTAGTGGTAGAGCGTTCGCTTTGTGATCGGGAGGCCCTAGTTCGATTCTCGTTCTCGGCGCTGCGTCAAACCTAAGACGTAAAAATAGGTAACGACTGTTCCTTCGCCAAGCGCTCGGCATCAGAAGTGAAAGTCACGGGTCTTTCGGATATGACCTTAAATACGTAGGTCCCTTGTCACGGTAGGCGATAAAGAACCCTCACTGGTCAATGGCCTTGAGTACCGAGTATAGGTCTAAATTTGAAGCCCTTCATCGGCCCTTCATCGGCATACGGTGACTTCTCCATAGAAGTGAAAAATTCTCAAGAAGGACGTTAAACAAATATACAATCAATCAATCAATCTTAACTTGAAAAGTGCTGCTGCTTTCTTTAAATCGAGGGTGTGATTTTATAAGTACACACAATATTTGGTTAAAGTCGAACATATTTCGACATTGGCTTATTTACCTGGAATTTTAACTATTAAAACGCGAATTCCATTCAAAGCAGCAGCACTTTTCAGAAACTACAATGTATGCAGAAACAAATAATAACTAGAATTTTTAATTTCCACCAGGGTATGCCCTTGCGATATTGAAATTTGTTCATGATCTACATTCAGTACACGAATTATGCATTCATCACGTGACTGTCCATCGATGGAACCAAACTACATACAGTACAGAATGGGTTACACTGTGCTATTTCCATAAGTATTTGTGTTCTGTGATAATAAAAAAGCTTAATTAGTTTTAAAAAGGTCCCCCTTTTTTGCACGTCTATTTTCTGTTGATGTCTCATAGTAGGCTTTAACATTGCTGCGTAGTAAAAATTGACACCTTTTGAGATTACCCTCTAAGAAATCGGGATGGTAAACATTCGATATTTTAATCTTAAAACAATAAACACAACAGAAGTTATTTATTATAAAGAATAATCAAAATCCATTGGGAAATAATTTACTCGGCCTCGTTAAAGAACTATATGCGGTATTAACCAACATTTGCCCCCCAAAATCAAACTTTGACGGAGTAATATTTAATTAAGTCCTTAAACAGGGGAGTATATGCTGACTTCAAAGCACTGAATAATTTCATAAGTAATGACGTCATATGTACGTAATGACGTCACAAATATGACGTAAATTTCAGTTTTATATGAATTTTGCAGAAAAATGTACATATTTCGTCGATATTTTAAATAAAAGTCACCGAGCGCATGTGTGTTCAGGATAAATATTTTGATATAATGTGTAGAATGATAATATCAATGAAATATGTCAATATTGTTCCTGAACACACATGCGCTCTATAAATTTTAAAGCTTAAATTGTTGAAATTTTGTCCATTTTGTCCTCTTTCTGAAAAAGGATATAAAATCGGAAGTTTGTGACGTTAAAATCAGAAATTGTGAATACACTGCTCTGGAACTATAATATTTTCTGTTAACTTATATTTCTCGTACAATTTATTGAATTCAGCACATATCAGGAAGTTTTCAAAATTTGACTTTTGTGGGGGCAAACATATGCAATATACCGCATATAGTTCTTTGGCACTATTTTAGTAATATCTAAAAATTAACATCACAGACCCCCACTTGGAATTGACCCCCCCCCCCATTTTAAGTTTTGATTTTAAATAATTATATGTATGAATTCTTAAAATATAGTTGATAAAAAAGTATCATTACTTTTCATGTCAGAATCCAACCTCTTTAATAATGGAAATTTAAAACTTTCTTTTCAATAATGAGAACATGATTAAGCATATTTATATAAAGCCATGTTCTGGCCATGTAGACTCAATATTTTTCAAATCATATAACCCAAGAGGTAGGGGGACCACCAATGATTACAAACTTTGAGAAAAAAAATGAATAAACACAAATCCAAAGTGACTCAGTAAGCATGTGGTCCAAGATTCGAAAGATTCTAAATATTTTCAAAATTGTGCGCTTGCTTAAGTGTTTTAAAATCTCGTTTCTAGACATCCAATGCAAGTTACGTATAGTGGCATTCTGCAGCGATTCAATATCAAAAAATATTTGCTTATTCTTTAAAAGATCTAGAAGCAGTGTTTATGTATTATTTCATAAGAGATTTCATACAGCAAATATAATATAATATACAAATATCCTTTTATGAATTATTTTTTTTTATTTAACAAGATGACAAAATACACCATCTTGAACACTTTCGACATCATACCTTTCTAAAATCTGGAACAAAATAACAGCATACGACAAATTTTATTACCTGTCCATGAACTAGGATAAATTCATTCTTACCGTTCTCAAAACCTAATCTGCAAATAATGTTCAATCGTATTCCATATGTATTGTATGAAGGACTACAACTTGTATTGATAATCGTCAAATTCTCGCTCAAACCATTGAAGCTAAAAGCTAAAGATTCCAGCTGATAGGAGGGCGTATAATAATTTTCGTCAAAATCACTCCATCCCGAGTTATATAAATAGTTGATTTTTACAGTGCATACTTTTTGGCAATCACATCTTTCTAAAAAATTAGAAAACAATATAGTTATCGAATTCCTTAATACTATAAATCGGTTGTATAAAAATGCAATATATTCTAAGAACAATTTTTAGGGGTCTTTTATCGGCATTTGTTTGCAACACAAAATTGAAATTTATACTTTTTCTAAAATTTATATATCAAAGAATAATGAAAATTAATTGATGAACTTTAATGTCATCGTTAAAATTTTTGACGAGGATTACATTGTATTTCATGATCAAATATTTAGCATGATTGTCTCGATACTAAACATTTCAAATAAAACAGATCAATAAACAATTAACTTTACAAGAATGAAAGATCAATATAATTATAAATTCATTTCTGTATGATGTATTGAAGATATAGAACTTTTATATGACTTAATGAAAGGCAAAATATGACATTTTTTTTAAAAGTGAAAGCTCTTGGATTTATTTGAATTCACATTAAGTGTACTGTTTATCAATTTAATTACCTGATTCAAACCAGTCCTTTGCATCTTTTAATGAAAACTTGCACGCTTTTCTTGATGCAAAATTAAAGGGTGTACTCAGGCAAACTTCACTGAATGGAAACAATATCACAGTAATTTTTTATTTTAAATAAACATTTAAAATTAATTCAAAATCTGTGTATTTTGACATTTTTCAATAAAAAAGAAATGAATACTAACAAACGCTTAAAAAGTCTGTATCATCGTATTAAAAACATAAATGAAAATTTATATGAAGTTTTTTTTTTTTATTTCAGATATGGATTGCATCAAAGCATAGAGTATTTGTTTTTATAGAATCATATTTATCTGGAACCCAGCCTAGTTTTTTTTTTAAATATGCTAGTTATTAATATTTGATAGTATTCATTATTCAATATATATTATCTTTCACTCTGAAATAGATTATTGAATCCTTTTTATATACACTCTATATAAACAGTCTTTTAGGGAATCTTGATAGAATCGATATTAAAATGAAAGGTGTTAGACAGATGTGTGTAATGCAGAGATGCTCGTAAATCTCGATTAAGCAGGTAATATAGCATGAAAAAATATAGATTTGAGAAATGTTATACGACTTTCATGTGTACTACCTTTAGCATGAAACTTTTCGATAAAGCTTTTCAAAGTGTGAAAGTGATCGCTATATAAATTAAAGTTTATCAAAGTGTCAAATTTTTCGATAAAGCTTTTCAAAGTGTGAAGTGATCACTATATATAAATTAAAGTTTATGAAAGTGTCAAATTTTTCGTTAAAGTAAATCCAAGTGTCAAAGTTTTCACTATATTGAACACATCTTATGTTTCGTCAAGTATTACTGACTTCGTTCAATATACTAGTATTTAAAAATTTTGTTGGTTGATTGTACAGTTGTCTAACGTCCCTCACGAGAATTTTTCACTCATATAGAGGCAACACCACTTGTCGTTGGAGAGCTCGGCACTCAGGGCCTTTGAGCAGTGAAGGATTTTTTTTTTTGCCAGCACCTACTGCGACACGGGACTTCGATTTATACGGTCTCATCCGAAGGACCAGAGTTTCAAAGTATTCATTATTGTTATTTATTATAGTTAATTAAAGTTTTCAAAGTTTTCAAAATTTCTTTTAAAGTTATCACTATAGTTAATTAAAGTGTTAAAATTTTCGCCGAGGTCTATCCGAGTATCAAAGTGTTAATCAAAATCTGTAAAAGTATTTAAGTTTTCAATAAAGTTATTCAAAGTGTCAAAGTGATCACTTTAGTAATTCATAGTTTTGAAAGTTATAGCTATAGTAAAGTATAGTAAACTATAGTTAACATAGTTTTTTTTTGTTAAGGCTGGTCCCTCGAATGAGACCGTATATACCGAGGTCCCGAGTTGAAATAGGTCTCTTTACCGGAGGACGTTAACCAAAAACAAACGAAAAAGATAGTTTGTTCTCCTCTACCACATGTTTGAACTCTCTCTCTCTCTCTCTCTCTCTCTCTCTCTCTCTCTCTCTCTCTCTCTCTCTCTCTCTCTCTCTCTCTCTCTCTCTCTCTCTCTCTCTCTCTCTCTCTCTCTCTTTCTCTTTGCTTAATAGCCTTGAGTGCCATAAAGTCAAACATTTGCAGCTTTCCACCAGAAGTGGTGGCGTCTCTTTATAAGCGAAAAATTCTCGAGAGGACGTTAACCAAAAACAAACGAACACTTTCATATCCTTTCACAGATTTGAATTTGTACTTTGTTCTCCTCTACCACATGTTTGAACTTGCATTCAACAAATACTGTAACGTTTAATACACTTCCTATAAGCACAACTGCTTCAGTTTGCAATGAGCGTAATTTGTTATCTCACACTCGCACAAAACAAGTGATATCTATGATAATTATATTTGCTGATTGAGTTGTATCTGATTTTCTTAAAGACAATTTTTGGTCAAAGTATTTAACAATATGATAAAAGTTTTTAACAAATTAAACAAGACTGCTGTATATATTTGTACAGTCTTACGCATATAGTTTCAAAGAACGAAATCTCTTCCCACTGTTGTGTTTAACATTAAATAAGACAAAACAAAATTATTGTACATGTAATAGCGTTTCTATAGAAGTTCAATGACGATATCAGATTTAATATTTTTTCACGAATTTTAAGTAATCATATTTTAAGAAAGCATTTCTTCAGTTGAAGCTAATATAAAAGCATTCTCTTTTTGAATTATAACGGAATTAAAGATTGTTTGTAACTTTTTTCAGAAAACTTCAATACTTATGTTCCTTGAACGATGACTTCACAACTGCATTAAAAACAAAAACAAAAACAAAAAAACAAAACAAAAACAAAAAAAAGAGGGGGGGAGAATTTGAAGACATCACGGTTTGTATACAGATAATTGGTTATAACTAACAAATATCATATATGTATGTTTTTTCTGTGCCTCATTATGCATAAGGTGGATTTATCAAAAAAGAATTGTTTAATTGTTATCATATGTCACTATATAGACAAACAGTCATGCTTTATGTAGGCCAGAGTTTCCTTTTATATTCATTACAACATCACAGAATGCAAATATATACGCTAATAAGCGCGTATCATGGTATTATGTCAGCAGAACAATTGCTCTTCATAATCCACTGTTCCACTGTTCACTGAATAAAGTTGTTTATTTCTTAAATATGCCCCTACGTGACTCCCCATATCCTCATTGCTTTTAAAGCTCATTTTTTTTATTTATACAAAGTTTTATTCACACCGGGATTGGGCGGCAACCAAAGCCTATTTTAGCCCTCTCCATATCTCTCCCTCCCTAAAATATCTATTGCATTCATTTGAATTCCATTTGTTTTGCGTATGAAAACTTTGCATATAAAAATACCTAATGACAATTGAAATGGAGCAATTTCATTATAAAAGTACGAAATTCATCTATGTTAGACAGTATTTACTATTCAACAAATAGCTGGGTTTTTTTTACATTACCAATGTGCTTTATCATCAATATAAGTCAAATCATTGGATTAAACGTTTGGAAAACCTGAAGTAATTAAAAAAATATATAAATAAATAAACTGTAATTTATTTGATTTCATAGAAGATAAGTATGACTAATACTTCACAAAAGTAATTATATTATTAGCATGTAGTGTAGAGATGACCCTTCATATTTCATATGTATAATAGTGTTCACCCTCACTAATGTGGTTATTAAATGAAACTTACGTTGCAGCAATTTCTTCATTCATTCATAATGCAATGCAATACATATCTATTGATTAGTTTAATGATAATAAATAAGAGGCTATCCAAATTTTTCTCAATGTTACCCGATACCCATTTCTACATTATATTTAGTTTTTAGGCATATATACTAGTTCAACATGATGTCTTACATCACTATTATTAAAGCAAATTGTTCTATTCTTTTAAGATTTTTTTATATCAAAACCTTTGAAAAGAGGAGTAAACAAATATTGCCTCCACTTTTTCATTTATTAATTTGAATTTTTATTCTTGAAACTCTAATTTCAAATTTCTTATACCGAAAATTGAATCTCTGGACCTTCTGGGTTTTCCTAGTTTTCACAATACCGTATCAGTGAGAATATTAGCGTGACGTAATATTAGCGATTTGTCCTTAAAACCTGGTATTCTAATTTTAGTGAGAAGCGGTTTAAGCGAATTTGATATGCTCACTTAACAATGCAAGGATTACAACTAAAATGCTTTTAGTTTTTAACGATATTAAATTTTAACGATCTCGGCACCCTCACCAACAATAGCAAATGCAAATCCTAGCTAACAAGTCTGTTTAAAAGTACAATAAATACATTTAATCAAGTTTTTTTCCTTTCTTCAACGTATTTTTTCCTACCAAATTCGCCAACATACCTGTTGATATCGTACATGTATACAGAACACCCACAATACAAAATCAAAGAGGGGAGCCACCCTGAAAAAATAAAAACAAATAATATGAACACAATTTTAAAAAACAATCGTTGTTTAATAACTTATATTTTATAGATGCTACACGATGTTGGATGATTGAACAAAATGCTGAACTTTTCAAACCTGCTTTTTTTTTTTATGTGGTCGTTTTTCAAACTAAGCTTTATTTTTAACAAATAAATTTAAATGATGTTCGTCAATTAAAGAAAATATAATTTCTTCCCATGATTATGTAGTAGATCATATGTATACCGGTATATGTATTTTATTTTGGCAATTTTACAAAAGTTCTGTATTGAAAGAAGACTATATAAGATCGTGAACTTGTGTCTAATCCTTGTGACTCTTTGTCAATCAAACTGTTTAATTCAATTTAATTCAACGCATTTTTATAATTCCTTTTCTATCACGTTCATTTCTGAATTCTGATTAGTTTAGAATATTTACCAATTTCAATGTTATCCCTTTCATAAATAACACAATTGATCACGGGTAACAATAATGAAACCTTTCGTAACATGTATGCGCGAGAGGTTTGCTGTTGAATTCTTAACACGTGATTTGTGCATTGAAATTACCTTAATAAGTAAGATGATACCAAAGACTCTGTCTTTGTAAGAAAACAATAAGTATATTATTAGCACCAGCAAAACATTTACAAGGTTCATTAATTTAATCATTTTCGAAACTTCTTTAATGCGAAAAACGTAAGCAGTGTGTGTCAATGCCTTTCAAAGAGAAATAAAAGTATCCAACCCTAAAAAAAATCTTAAAATCATATATGGTCGATCGCGTGCACGTGGCGCAGTGGTTACAGTGTCTGCTCTAGAGTCAATCCTTACATCGCCAGTTCGACTTTCACTGTGGGACGTGAAGACAGCTCCTTCGGATAGACCGAGTAAACCGAGGTACCCTGTCGCAGTAGGTGCTGCCTCGAAAAAGATTCCTCATAGCTCATAGCCCTGAGTGTCGGGCAAAGAACAAAATTTGAAGCTCTCCGGTGGCAAGTGGTGGCGTCTCCATATGAGTGAAAAATTTTGAAAGGGATGTTAAACAATATACAATCAATCATTCATACATATATGCAAATACATGTATGTGCAAATTACTTTGTAGGATTAAGGACATATGATACAAACAATTTTTTTCTTTGAAAAAATTAGATATCATTTCACAAGCTTAGAAAAGTGGATGGTTTCTCTCGATTTTCGATTTCATCCTAAGACACTGGAATATGAAAAACAGTTGGACTTATTACTAATATTTCAATGAAAGAACAAATATAGACAAATCACTTTCAATAAAGGTTTACAGGTGAAAACAAATTTCAGAATATGTTATCTTGGTGCTTAAAGTGTAATATAAACTGAAGAAAAATATACCAAGCCAGGTGCATTTTATTAGGAAAAGCTAAATTGTTAAAATCAGCCTATGTGATATTGCTAAGTTTTTGTCATTTTGTTCCTCCTCTTAAAATTCACCTGGCTTGTTATATTTTTCTAAAGTTGATACTACACTTGTAGCACCAAGGTAACATATTCTGAAATTTGTTTCTTCATCTACTTTAGTGATTTGCTTTATTTGTTTTTTTTTATTGAAATATTACTAAAATTTTCCTAGTCTGTTTCATTTTCCAAATTCTACAGAAAATATTCTAAAGTTTATTTATCATTAAAAAATCGTGACATGATATTTTATCTTTTCAAATATAAAAAAATGATTCCACATTGCCATCCATCACATTACACAGAAAATTATGCATACACATACAAGTTTTCTATCATATATTTCATCACCTAATACACTATACTGACCAATGACAGACTTTTAAAGGATTTTCATATGCAAATACAATTATATCATGTAGTTATTTCAAATGCTACATTGTACGTTTTAACATTTTCCGATTTGACAAATAAACACGAAATGGTGTGACCTGTCAGAGAGCATCCCTCCATACATGATAAAACGTTTTATTTTCAGAGGTTGTGTTGCTCTTCTCTTATTTCGTATTGTTTTATGGACTTTGAGATCGAATACTGTTCGTTATCTTCATATCCTTCATCTACTTTAGAATTATCATTGTTTGTTGGGTATCAATATTCCTGGATTTCGTGGGTCACTCTTACCCAAGAATTCACATCCTCACAAAAGTTTATTTTAACATAGTAATTCATTGAACAATCGTATTTACAGGTAACCATCGAATATTGACCCCCATAAATTAAAATGATTCCACATTGTCATCCTTCACATTACAAAGAAAAAATACATTAACATACATTTTGTCCCATATCATACCTTGTATCAGCCTAAATAACTATATCAGCCAATTGACCGAAGCTGTTAAAGGATATCATGTGATGGTTTTGTTACATGTAGTTATTTCATTGTTACATTGTAATTCAGCACCATCTTTTTTAGGTATAACAAATAAATAAGAAATGGCGATTCATAATAATATAAGAGAGCATCCAATCGGAATATGAGGAAAAAGTTTTATTTTCAGAAGTTGTTTTCCTTAACTATAAGGAGTGTGATATAAATCTTTATTGCATACTTATGGCACCTGATCCTGTCTCTGATGTTTTGCAGATATTTCTTCGTGCTGCGTCAGATTTGTACATTTTAAATTGATTGACCTCAAAAACTGTACAATTCCTTATCTCCCTATCACATTTAGAAAATATTGCTCTCTCTCTTACTAAATTATTGCACTTTCCTTCGCTATAAGATACAACTAATGTCTCAATAGCTTACAAGGAAAAAACACGAAAATACGATACCGCGATAAGGCTTTCTCTCCACGACTGCCGATATCAGGCTGCCTAAAATAAGATTACACGCCTATAATACATTGTTTTTTGAACATGTTTATTTCTTGAACTTTAATAAAACACATAAAAACAACAATAAGGTCAGAATGTGTTTTCTATTCAGTGAAAATACAAAAGATGGAAAGGCTAGAGTACGCATAATTACATGTATAATTTTCAAACAAATTGCATATTCAAATTAGCCATATTCACATATATATATGATTGTTATCTCCTTTGATTTCTTTAAAAAAAAAATTGTCTCAACAAAATGAAATCAAATTCATCACACTGTTATGATGTAATGATTTGTATTTACACAATGGTACCTTTGATTTTGCTTTTGAAAACATGAAATGGTACATTGTACTAGGTAAAAACTTGTGAAAAAGATATTGCAATTTTATTATTATACATGACACACCCGGTACATGCCATTAACCCAAAATAAACACAAATAATTGCTCAATTGCAAAAATATTTCAAGGCCCAGAGACAAAAAAGTATACTTACATTTTATATACGTCGAAACAGCCATTTTACACGTAATACATGTAGGAGCTATGAGTGGATTAAACAAGTGTGCTTTTAAAGTGTCTCATATACTGTATTTTACATCTGACATCCTTGTCGCTGATTTTTTGCTAATTGCATTTTGAAAACAAAACTTCCCTTTTGTTACCTGAAGTACGTGTCTTAACGAGACCCAGTCTAATTTGAATGCACATGACTTTGCGCAGCTTTTTTTAAAAAATCGCAGTTTTTGTGCATCATTACACCTTTCCCAAGGTTTGTGATTGTAAAAATAATTTTATTATTAGCTGAAACGCCCATGGATGTGAAATGTACAATTAACAGAAAAAGCGGTTAAAAGGCTCTAATGTCGTCACTGTTTTTAGATTTTGTAAACAATGCATGATACTAAAGTTGAGACACGACTCGCTCAACATGTATTCAAGTATTCAAGACGACCATGGATATTTTACCGTAAATCTGGAAATTTTTGCTGTAGATAAATTTTTAGCAAATTTGCGAGTTCATTGCATTCGCAAAAAATATTTTTCTTAAAAATAAATTACCAATAAGAAAATGTAAACAAAGCAGTGGTCATTCGCAAAATTTTGAAACGTAAAAATTAATCAACAGCATTTTGACCCGAATTTGCAAAATAAAATCGACGCAAAAATTTCCAGATTAACGGTACTAAAAACTTTTAACAGAACATCAAAAGAAACATTCCGGCATTCTAAACATTATTTTTTAACAGGGGTGGGGGTCGTAAACTAGTCCGTAAAGCGATTAATTTTCGCGATCAAGTCTTTTTGAATCTGTTTGTGGAAAAAAAAATATATAAATCTTCAATCATATATTGTCGCCCGCGTGGCACAATGGCTAGAGCGTCTGCTCTAGACTGCGAAGTAAGTAGTCAATCCTTACGTTGTGGGTTCGAATTCCAATGTGTAACGTGGACACCAGTCCATAAGACTGTATAAACCGAGGTCCAATGTCGCAGTAGATGCTGGCACGAAAAAGTTCCCCCTGGTCAATGGCCCTGCGTGCCAGGCAAAGAACAAAATTTGCAGCTTTCTTCCGGAGAGTGGTGGCGTCTCCATATGAGTGAAAAATTCTCGAAAGGGAGTTAAACAATATACAATCAATCAATCAAATATATAAGCAAATATGCAGATACACGTATGTACAAGTTGCTTTAAAAGATTAAGATAGTAGTTAACATCATAAGAAAAAACCATTGCCAGCAAAGCTGACAAGATGGCAAGTTTTCTCTCGAGTTGTCGATTTCATCTACTCTAGAGTTATCATTGTTTGTTGGGTTCCAATGTTCGTGAATCACCCTTACCTACGAATTTACATCCTCATGAAAGTTTATTTTGTTAACATATTAATTCATTGAACAATTATATTCACGTGTTACCCACGAATATATATTCCCATAAATTAAAGGGATTCTACAGTGTCATCCTTCAAATTACACAGAAAATAAACCCCTTAACGGCCAACTGCGCCTTTTGACGCATTTTCAGCATCACAGTAACTTAACTGTTGACGTTTTGTAAATAATTGGGATACAACAAAACAGTTGATATTTTCTGAAAATAGAGAAGAACCACAACAATTTTTCTAGCATCAGTTTTTCTCTGCGATGTTTAGAAATTATTGTAAACTTGAATTGAACATTGAACATTGAATATTATTGCGGGAAGTTAGTAAAATTACGCATAAATTAGTGATTTTGTGATATCTTCTTTAGGCTGTATCTCATTTACAGCACACGATTTTAAAAAAATGAATGCCATATCCTAAAAGCAAGGAATTTTCCGTACATTTTCTTTATGGACATCGAAAGGTTCGAGCATCCGTTACAGAAATATTTGCTGTTGAATATTGGAACTTTTTCGAGTAAAACAAAAAAAGCACTATGACGTCATCTAACGTTTTTTGTGTATACAATGAAATCGTTCATAAGTTCGGTGTAAAATAAATCGATTATTTTAATATATGGAACAGATTTCATTTTTAAAGGAATTTTTTACAAAGACGAGTAAATATACGAAACGTTTTGAGCCATAAACATGTAACAAAGGGTATTTTATTAGCTTTAGAATATAAGTGATAGTTCTTGACCCAACGCCCCGATTTCGAGCACCCACTGTTTCAGAAATCCTTGTCGAATTTTGTGTCATTCCTACATGTAGTAACAATAATTAATCAAGTAATCAGGTATTGTCTTTACCATTTTCTTACTTTTCGGATTTGTCATTAAAAATAAAAAAAAAATATACAAGGTTATAAATCTTTTTTCGAGTCCTTAGGCTGGTATTTTAAATGTACTTTGAAAGGAAAAGCTTTCGCAACGATGAAACATATAAGGATTAAAATTCGGATGAAAGATAAATTTTTGCTAACGCACAAACTTCATGCATTTAACTAACTGGATTATTTTCCTTACCCTTATCTTTATCTAATATAAAATGAATGCACAGGAACACGAAAATAAAATAATGAATATACACTGTCATATTTAATTTTTGAAAATCGGGAAACTTATTTTCATTTGAATTATTTCCCTTTCTGTTACCATGGTTGTTATATACACAGGGAGAGACATAGCACGGAACAGTCATTCTACAAAAAAGCATGGGCAATTAATATATATATATATATATATATATATTTTCATGTCACTTACAGATTTGCAGTTATAATACCTTAACTATAAATTTTAACATGGAATTTAGATCCAAGATATAACATACACGCATGGTTTTGTTTGTTTGATTGTTTTTTATATTTACCGATATATATGTAGTTAAAGTTTAGATATGAACATGATGAAGGTCTAATGTTGAAAACGTATTCCACTGCGAATCATAATGTCGCTTCATTTATTTACAAATTTCAAGACGGGATTATCAGCCGTAAAAGCGTTCCTAACAGATTGCGATGAATGTTAAATAAGTTTTTTTTATCTTGAATAAAAAAATAAAATCAAACCTCTTCTCGAAAAAGAAATGCATGGATCTTCTTTCATAAGTAATCATAGCATATCGCTAAAATTAATTAACTTCAGTACTGAGTTTGCTCTTAATTTCACGGACAGATTATTTGCAGGTTTCAAAAAGGAACTGAAATTTACCAAAAACCTTATATCATTTATACTAGTTGCGAGTCAGCTATTTATTTTTAAGACAAGGCTGCTACATTTGCCATCTCCATTTTTGTTTACATTCCATGCCTAAGTTTTCTTTTCCTTTTTTACTCATCCTAACCCCCCCCCCCCCGCCCCTTCCACACAGAGATACATATTTATGGCACGCCAAATTCACAAAAATGAGCAAATCATAGTTTTACAATCGATAAACAAGGTTTATCGGTTGTAAACTATAGTTTACGGACTGTAAACTGTAGTTAACATCGTTAATCTATATTTTAAATCTGTAAATCATAGTTAACGCAATTATCTAGGTTTCACAACCGTAAACTATACTTAATACCGAAAACTATCATTTGCGATTGCAAAACATAGATTATCTGATAAATACAATTTCACGATTTGTAAACTATAGTTTACAAACCGTTAACTATAGTTAACCATCTGATAAATATAGTTTAACGATTTGTGAAACTATGATTAACAACTCTTAACTATAGTTTACGATTGTAAACTATAGTTTACAAACGTGAATCTATGTTTATCAACAAAATCTATTGTTAACGCTTATTACAGACAGATAAACTTAGATTAGCATTCGTAAACTATAGCTAACAACCGTTAAATATAGTTTTACAGATGAAAACTATACTTAACAAATCGTTAACTATACTTAACGAATCGTTAACTATAGTTAACGGTTTGTAAACTATAGTTTACAGTCGATAAACTTACATTATCAATTGTGAAAGTAGGTTTAGCTCATTTTTGTGAATTTGGCGTGCCATACATATTGCTTCACGTCTCCTAGTAAATAGAGATAAAGGATTGCTGTTGGTAATGGATTTAAAGGGGATCAAACAGTTACTTGCCCTGGTTGGAATATTTCTTGTAAATGCTACCTTTAACATCTACATTGTAGTTGGTATTCATTTTGCATTTGCATTGATAATTGATTTTGGAAGGGGATCAAGGTGATGATAAACCGTTTAATGGAAGACATGTGCAGTACTTGGTAAAACCTTCATAGAAAAAAGTGGAGTGTACTAAATTTAAATTTAAATTCATGCATGCATAAAAGTGAGACCAGTAAAAAGTTCCAAAGTCATGTAAACTTGTATTAATACTTTAAGTTCCGATGTAAAAATTTTACAATTTGCTTTATGCATACGTTACCGATTGCAATTACATACTCCCAGGTACATATAACTATATTGACCAATCGGATTAAAATCAGCTGTAAGTTTTTGTTTGGCTACGTTAAGTAGTGGACATTTGCGAAATAGCGTACAGCGAACAGCGGACTTCGGACTTCAGACATTTAAGGCGGACTTTTCTAAGGGGGCGGTTTAAAAAATTGAAAAATATAAATTCATAACAAATTATCTGAAAATGTATAAGCCTCTGATAGCTATGAAAAAATTAAATCAAAGAATTTTGTAATTCGTTTTTTTGATTGGTTTAATTAGAAAGTTTGCAAAGAATTTACAGAGTATTCGCGAACATTAAACTGTCTCGAAATAACATATTTTTGTATGCATTATTAAATTGAAAAGTATCAAATATGAACTACAAACAACTACAATCTCAGAAATTGAATTGTACAGAGTTACATTTCAACTTCACATTTAATTTGTTTCTAATATGCAAACTACAGGTACAACTTCCGATCAATGTGATATACTGTATATAAACCTTAATATTTCCATTTCTATTTTTTTTCTCTGTGATAACTGTTTGAAAGTTGGGGGGATTTATTTCTTGATAATTCTGCCGGAATGTAAATTAGGCAGCTCGATAGGTCGGAAGCTAAGGGGTTCTAATAGGCATGCAAATCTCGTGCGCATCTGTCTCTGTGTCTGACGCTAAGGAGGCCAAATATGCATAAAAATCTTGTGCGACTGCCTTTGTCAGTGCGCGAGGACTATGAAATTGGCATGGAAGTCCTCGTGTAATTAAATCTTTTAGTCTACA